TACCCAAACTCTACTATACTGTCTACACACACACACACACACACACACACACACACACACACACACACACACACACACACACACACACACACACACACACACACATGATCTACCCAACATGACATGAGATAGTATAGCTGTCTACATGGCTTTGTAGGAAGGAAAACATGTGATGATGGAAGTGACAGACAAGGTAGGAGGCAAACTGAGAGAGACAAGAGCATCCATGGAAACACATCCAGACGTTTTAACCATCAGAGGAAAAGCAGAAATTCAGTCCAATTATAAAAACACACCAGCAGCAGTTTTACATCATTGTTTTGTCACAGCACCGAGTGAACATGCTTCTTTGTTCAGGTTTTTCACCTGCTTTGTTTGTCAAGGTCATGTCCTGGCTCTTTCCCTCTCACATTCTGTTTCCACGCCTCTCTCCAACAGCTTGTAGGATTAATGCTATTAATATTTTGATTAATAATTCATTGGTGACATTTTAATGTCTCCATTTAAGTCTGTGTTTGAATTTGTGTGGAAATCAGAGTGCTAGTCTCGGAATTTGTTGCTCGGCCATCTTCAGGAAATCGTATCACTTTGACCTGACACTAGTTTTAAAGTGTTCAGCTACAAACAGCTGTAGTGGCTTTTATTGATAGGTAAATGGTATAGTACAGTGTTACTACCTAAATCTTATGTGACGTGCTCTCTCATTCTCGTTCCTTGACACACACACACTGTATACTTCCATGGAACGGAGAGGGCGTGGAAAGTGGATGGAGCACAACAAAGAAAGCAAGAGAGAGAGGCGATGGAGTTAGAGAAGAGTGTGTGTGTGTAAGAGAGAGACAGAGAGAGAGAGAGAGGAGAGAAAACAGTGGAGGGTAAATCCTCTTTCCCCGCTGACTTTAATCTCTCTACGGGCTGAGCCTCGCAGTTCAGGCCTTACTGCAGCCGTCAGTCAAGACGAGTGACAGCCAGCAGGGCCACAGGTGGGGGATGGTGAGGGCTGGACCTTGCGTTATGTCAGCTCCAATGTTTTGTGTGTGTGTGTGTGTGTGTGTGTGCTTGTCCATGAAACATGTTAAGCATGTTAAAGAGGAAGTGACTTTCACAGTGGGAAGAATGGACCAGGCTGTAGTCCCTGTCCTTCAGAAAGCTGACTAATGAATTCAACAAGTTAATTTGCTATTATTAAATTGGTAGCATCACGTGTCTGTTGTATATGACAGTGACAGGATATAATGAGATAACTGGAGGGTAGAGTGGTCTTGTGGATCTAAATTAAGGGATGTTACAAGTCAAATCAATAGGTTTCTTACAGAATTTAGATTACAATGACAGTAACACACAGGTGTAGATGAGAGAATCTAGCTGGGCTTTTTTTTGTCACATGATGTAACTTGCAACCTAAGCCAGTAAGATCATTTGACAGAGCAACTGAATTTACTTTCTAATTTCTGGTGTGTTACCTTTGTGTGCAAATAAAATGTGCTTACAGAAGAGTGGATGTTAATGGAGCAGGTTGACGTGCTGATTTTTTAAAACTTTTTAGCCACTCTAAAGATGGCACTGTTGGCCAGGCAGTCCACCACTTTGGTCCAGACCATACCAGCCAACACTTGTGTTTTAAACCCTTCTCCCAGCGCCCTGCCATTTTGTTGTTTCTCCCAGGAAACTCTCATAATTTGCATGGGCTCATCCTTTAATATAAGTAATCGTCATACATGCATCCATACGTTTTATGTTTGTCTGGCGTTGTCCAAGTCGTCAGATTGCGTATGACACACAGTCCACACACATGCATACAATTCAACCCATCTGTAACCACAACCTGGCAACCCACAACCCGACTCGAGTGGCGTGTACAACTGCTCTCTGCACAGAAAGGACATTTGACTGTAGAGTTAATTGTCATAATATAAGCAAATTTAACTAAACTTTATTTATATGTTTATTATGTATGTGAGGATGGATGAAGTGAGGAAAAGAAGAGATAGAGCATGTCAGAGCACAGATCTGAATGTTATAGACTGAGTTGTTGCTGCTGTGAAAGGTTTGTAACATTTCAGTACATGAAGAGTACAGTCTGTTTCTTTTATGGGACATGCATCACTGGAACATCGATACTGTTGCCACTGACAACACAACCACGGCAACACTGTCAACAAGTGGTCATTGCCATAGATATGGCCAGTCTTGGTTCACTGCCATTTCGGATACTTCAGATCCATTTTCTAAACTGGAGCGGAGTGATTTGATTATAGCCTGAGTATCTTCTCCACCACTGAAAAGATGTGCGGACAGCGTTCGCAAACTCACATGATCTAAGTTTTATAAAGCTCTCCTTGGGCCTCAGCAGGTATTTACAACTTTAACATTCAGTTAGTTCACTCAGTTCATCTGTATTTGTCTTTGTCCTTGTCTCCTCTGTGTGGTTCACATGTAATGTTGCTGATCCATCACCTGAAGCTCATGTTGCTGTTGCACTCATTGTGAGGAGCTCTGGATTACAGCGTCAGCCAAGAGTCTAAAATGTAAAATGTCAACATAAATATTTGAAATTGCAACTATGTACCAAGTATAGCAGACAAAAACACACACACACACATGCACGCACACACACACAATTAGAGAAGCACTTTGAAATGGCTGCCGCCTCCCCCCTCCATCTCTTTTCCTGGCACATGTTGAATTATTAACTGGCCTGACGACTCCACTGGGACGGAGGCAGAGACAGATAGACAGAAGGCGCGGCACAACAAGGAGATACCTTATCAAACATCCAGCTGTGACTCTAACTGACCTTCTGTCTGTTCACCTCGGTGATGCTCTGACAGGAACTGACTGATGGACGCCTCTGGAATCGAGCAGAAAACTAACTACCAAAATCTGGTACATTAACAAAATGAACCAGCTGTTTTTGCAGTTTTACACTAGCACCACCCAAAAAAATATAACCATACCCTGGCAACTTAAAGCCAGTCTAGAATATTACAAATTCATCCATATAAACCTGTTTTTGGAATCAGCCTCCTTCTGCAGCCACAGCGTCTGATTGAGTCCAAACGTCAGTGGTCCCTTGGTCCCATCGCTACACTGTACATCGCAGTAGATTAGATTACATAAAGCATTAATGATCCCTGAGTTGAGTGCTGCTGGGTGGTTAAATTTACATCAGTGGCAAGACACATTAGAAGAAAAACTCCTCAATATGATTTGTGCAATAGAAACAAAAGCACATTAGACACACATTTGAGATTTGATTGGACCAGATCAGATTATTTGCCTCATTAAAGGCTTAACTGTTCAGAGAGACGACGGCGGAGTGAACGAGTGAGGGAAAGAAGGAAAGATACAGGGAGACCGAGCTGCTTTTCTTTGTCTCCTCAGCCCTCATCACCTTTCGCTCTGACCAGAAGCAGCAGCAGCAGCAGCGGCAGCAGCAGCATGTAGCTCTGTCAGCCTGCAGAGTAACAGCCACATACATTTTTCATGGACCATACCTCCAGCCCTACTGTGTGTGGCTTTATGAAAAACTGTCTGGCAGCGCGCCAGAGGAGCAAAAATAGACCCTGTCTCTGTCCTGATATTTTTTCTTCTAACCGTTAGAGTGATGAACCCCCCCACCCCCCCCTCGTTCATCTTGATTTACTGTTGATCCCTGAGGAAATTCAGGGTCGTCAGGGTGTAGCAACAATGTTTGGGGTGTGTGTGCATGCACATGTACGAGCACGTGTGTCTGGGTCTGTTAACAGAAGCAGAATCTATTTACCCATGGTGTTTAAACAGTCAATTATGCGTCAGTTGTGCTTATGTGGTAAGAATGTTGCTGTTAACTTTAGCTCAGTCAACATCTTTGCTGCCTTTGTTCCATCTCATGTGTTGATGGTCTTTTATTGTGCTATTGACAGTGACTGAGCAGGTCTGAAAACAGCTTTTCACACTTAAATACTGGCCAGCTTTGACTACAGGAACATTTCCAGGAACCTTTTTAGGAAGCCAGAGAAACTCACCTGCATTGAGCTGTACTTCCTGTTTCCCCAAAAAGTAGTTCCAGTGAGTGTGAAGTAGATATTTGACAAGTGTTGGCAGCAGGATTCAGAGAGGGGTCAAGACTGGTTTGAAAAGCTATTCACTGATTTGCTGAAGGACACTTTGACCATAACTGCTATGAAGAGAGATTGAACTTGTGGCCCTGCTGTTATAGAACAACCTCTCCAACCTCTAATAGCTCTAGATGAATCTCACAACAGATGGGGGCAGAAAATGGCATGAATCCTTAAGATAATTATGAATATTCATTCATTCATTTGACTTGACTGCAATAGTTCAGTGACCTCACAAGTCATCACAAGCAGCAGGTGTAATGATAGCATCAGAGCTGTGCTGCCTTTGCGTTCATTAATGATGTTTGAATATACTGATTTGAGTTAAAGTAATGTTTTTGGTGTTGTTGGGGACAGATGGGAAATGGGCTGCTATTGATGCAGATCAGGAAACAGACTCTTTTGTCCATTGGCCACAGTGGATGTCTTTCCAAAAAGAACTGTACGACAGTTTTATCTGTTACTCGAACTGAACTTCCTGGATTGTATTTCATGTCATACTGGTACCTGAAGCAGGGTGAATGGTTGTTTGTCTCTATATGTCGGGCCTGTGATAGACTGGCGATGTGTCCAGGGTGTATCTCGCCCACACCTGATGAGAACCGGGATTGGCTCCAGCCCCCCTATTACCCTCACAGGATAAGGGGTATGACTAATGGTGCTAATGGTACCTGAAGCTGCACACCCTCACCAGTGCATCCCTGTGTGTTGTTTCAATGCACATGCCATCTAATGCTCTGAAATCCTCTGATTTTTTTCTTTCATTGAGGTGACATGCTGTCCATAGCACCATCTTTTATACAGTTTTATTCTGTTGTATTGTTGATGGACTAACCTGCCTCTTCCTCTCTCTCTCTCTCTCTCTCTCTCTCTCTCTCTCTCCCTCTCTCTCTCCTTCAGTCTTTCTTGTTTGAGGGCAACAGTTCAACAGTCATCATGGCAGACGAAGCAGACATGCGCAATGAGCTGGCCGACCTGCAGACACGCGCAGACCAGATAGCTGATGAGGTACAGCAGAGGACACACTCACACACTGTTGTACTCCTGGTTTAACATGCACATATTGACACACAAACACTGATGTTATCTGTTCCAATATTGACAATAAAGATAATGCATCACGTTATATTTTTCAAATAAATGCAACTTACAATGCAATACTTCCTTCAGAGAAAAAATATGATTTTTGCCTGCTGCTCATTGGGCACTGCAGTAAAATGCGATTCCTTATGATCCTGTGTTACCTGCTGAGGTGGCTGCTACAGTGATCTTATTATTATTTAAATTTAACAAAGCCTATTATAATATTATTACTTGTTAATATACGCTATTTAAAATGCAAATCATTCCATTATTGATCTCAATAAGAAAAAGTGGCATTTATCTTAATTTGGGAAAGATCATCTTCTGTATTTTCATTTGTTTTCAACTCCAACCTCCAGTGGAATAATGATAGATTTTGTGACAGTTGCTTGGGTAATTTGAGAGGGATTTTATAAATGCAAACAGTCTCTCCATAGAAAGTATATCATGCACTACAATCTCCATGTACATGTTGAACATTTTAAATTATCTGCCAATCCAGAAAGCATGTTGTAACCTGGGTAGTTGATTTTCAATCAGTCAGTCAATCGTTCAGTCTTCATGAACATTTGCACATCTAAAATCACAGCAAAAAACAATCAGTTCAGTTACTGTTGAAGGAGGCTACCTTCTTTTGCCAAATAAATAAGTAAAAATGTAACTTGCTGCGTACTTGTAGGTGAAGATGGCAGCACACCAGAAAGCAGAAAAACTGAGGAGGAATTTTTTTCAAAACTTGGTCAAGAGTTTAAACTGATTTTTGGTACATGACATGACCATTATAATTTGACATTTCAAAATGACCTGCTCTCGTAAGGACAGATGTATCCCCAAAGCCTCCAGGCTACCAGACGCAGCTGCTTTAATGTGACCCTCCCTTGTTTTAGTCATTTGTTCTCTAAATCTATTTCATCAAGACTGTGCTTTTTTGGGATAAGGGAGAACTTTTCCCTTTTTAATGAGTTGAGAGGAGCTCAGGAAGAGCAGATAATTCTGTGCAGCAGAATAATAGAGAAGCTCAAATGGCCTTATTAAACATTCATGAGGAGATAATGCAAGGCCAAGAGGCTTCACGGATGTGACGGGAGGAGAGGAAGGGAGGAATAAGGAAGGCAGGGATTGATGGATGGAGATGAGATTACCAAAGGGAAACAGTGAAATAAGGATTAGGAAGGAGAGAGTGTTTGGTTTAAGAGGGGTCCTGCAGAGGATAGAAAGTTAGCAAACAGGGGAAAAGAGAGGAGGGAAATAATCAAAGTTCATTATATGATTCAATAATTTGTCTGATACATATTTGTGATTTTCTGATCTCCTTTGATCACCTTAATGTATGATTTTAAACCCTTAATATTCCATCTTAACACTGAGATATCTTGCTGATATCTGTCACAGGGGATACGCTTGTGTGTCTGTATTTGCTCTCTTGTGGACTCTCAGCTAATCAGCCCTCTCTCTCTCTCTCTCTCTCTCTCTCTCTGCCTCTCTGCTTGCAGTCTCTGGAGAGCACTCGGCGTATGCTGGCTCTGGTTGAGGAGGTGAGTCCAACAGTACAATGACACACATCACATTACCAGTCACAACAGAAAGAGAATAAGCATGCTCACGATTACACAAACAGTGATTTATCATAGAGATTGGCGTTGGGCGGTTTCCCGCCTCTCGTCCTGAGATAGCTGGGATTGGCTCCTGCCCCACCATGACCTTCAGAGGATAAGTGGTATAGCTAATGGATGTATGGATGATTTGTCTTGGTGTTTTCATTTGTTGACATCTACTAATACCTTCCTCATGCTAAGTAGTGAAGATATTTTTTTTCCTCCCAGTACATGGTTTAACTAGCTCTTCTTTACGTCTACAATACTTGTGAGGTACATTTCAAGTCAATTCAGTAATGATTCACCTGGTCAGTCAGTTCATGAAGAAAACAACCAGTTTTTTAGTACTTAGGTTATTAAAGGGGTGTGTCCTTCCATCAAGAATAAATAAATTTGAGTCTTTTAAAAATGAATTCCTGCTTCTTTAGAGAATCATCCAAAGAGACTTCTTTTTTTAATAATTATCAAATTGGCGATCCTTCCATTGAAATCTCCCCAAACATAAATTGCCTCAACTTTTGAACATAATTGTATTTTATTCAGAACTTGGTTTATTTATTGCCCAGTGATATAGCATCATATTCAGCATACTATAGCCACAACATAAGAAATAAAGGCAAACCTCTAAAATGTGAGATCTAATTGCATCATAAGAAATGTTGAACATTTAACACACTGTTCACATTGTTATGGTGATTTCAGAAAACATAACAGGTTTAAAATATTAGGTCCAAAAAGCTCTACTGAACCTGAAGGACCCGTTTGTAACCTGTTAAAAAAAGTCTCTTCTTCGCATGATTTCTTTTTTTCTCAATGGAAAAGAATTGATTCAGTGAACCTTGGTTTGCATAAAACTGTTTTCAGCACTTTCATTGCTCATACTGACGTTGTAAATTGCAACCAAATGTTCAGCTACTCAGTGAAGTGAATGAGAGAAGTGCTTGGTGTCCAAGGAGTGTGAACCATCTGTAGAAACGTCATGGTTGGTTGATCAGCCAGGTGTCTGTACCGGGTTTGTTCGTCATGCTGTGGACTGCTATGTCCTCTCCAAGTTTGTTAGACTTTAGCTGCAGAAGAAGGTTCAGCAAAGATATTTAATAACCTGTTCACTCTGAAAATTATGTTCTTAGCTTTCCCTGCATGGGAAAACAATCTCCTTGTATGTTGTGCTCTCCTATAGCTGTGCCTGTCAAGTATAAAAGGTCTTAAAGGAGCTATTTGTGAGTTTTGCTATTTCTACATAGCCAACATTAGCATTAACAGCTGCTTACTAACCACTTACTTACCTTGCAAGTTCAGCATCAGACATCATTCCTTCACTCATCAAGAGCTGCCTCCAGTGGTGCAAAGCAACACCAATGCTAACTCTTATCACGCCTTTTCTTCTACTGAAGTTATCACACTAACCAGCCAGCCCCAGTCCGTCTTGTCACTTTCTTATAGCGACTCACTGTAGCCTCCAATCTGTCCTGAAGACGACAGACCTCTTGAATTATAAAGACAACGATGGCTGAAGCTCTCGTCAAGCGACAATCACCACCACCTGCTCCCGGCAATAAACTACATTTTGGCGGCAAAGAAAACTTAAAAATAGCCCCTTTAACTACCACAGTGTTTGGGCATGTTGGCTTGTTTCTTTTATATTCTCTAGAAGTACTGTTTAAATATACCACTCAGGTGTTTGAGATTAGATATTGTGTCCGTATGCTAAGAAAAGTTAGCATGAAGTTATCTTTAAGAGCTGCCAAGCTGATGTCTCTGGCATTAAATCAGTATGTGCACTGGGGCTCTAGTGCCTGTTACATTTCTACTAGCATCAGACCCCAGCCACTATGTCTTAATGAGACAAAGCTGGGAGGAACAGTTTTGAGTCCTGCGGCTGACCTCAACAGTGACCTACTCGGCAGACAAGCCTCTATACTGACAGTGGCTGAATATGTGACCTTTGAAGATAATGCCAGGAGAATGCCATTCGTTCATTTCAACTGCTAGTCTCTGATTTGAAACTATCCAGTGGTTTGTTAGCTCAGAGTGTGTTCCCCTGTGATGCTCCTAGATTGTTGTTTTGCATATAAAATCCAGTGAAAGACACAGAGGCGAACAGCTACAGTTCCATGTTTATCTTCTCCTCTCTGTCTGCCAACATGATCTTTATCCATCTCACTTAGTATCTCTCCAGAGAAAAAGGCTCAGTATAGACTGCAAATAGGCAATAAAACAACATGAATTATGGATGAGACTCTACATGCTGCTTCTTATAATACAGTAGATATTATACAACTATCTCTGGGGTTTTTTTTGAGTTTATGGCTTTAAAATTCTTTTTCAGAGTGACTTAATTTTTAGCATTTGAATAATGGTCAACACTAAAATTGTGACAAAGCAACTTTCATTTATCAGTTTTTATTATTCTGTATGTTGCCCATAGAGGCCATACATGCAGACTGGATACAAAACAGAGTCTGTAATTAAAGTGATTCTGTCTCTAACCATACAGTCCACCTTTCTCTCACATAGGAAATTGGAAGCACATGCTAATACTCCGTGACCTCGGTGTTAAAAGGGCTTATAGTGAAGCTTACAGTAATAGAATGAGTGGGGAGCAGTCAGACCACACTCGTCCAGTGATCTATCTGAGATCTGTGCAGTGATACCTGCTTGTTCAGGGCCTGTCCAGGTCTGAGTCTGCACCAAGACTACATCAGATAAAACATTCTCAGTTATATGCATCTGTACTGGAGTTTTGATCTGTGTAGTGCCCTGCTAAAAAGGTATTAAAGGACAGTGATGGCATTTCCTCCGTGAAGCTTAAAGGATAACTCCGGGATTTTTTAACCTGGGTCTTACTTTTCCATGTTTTTAGGTGTAAATGATTAATAGGGACAAAAATCTTTGTGATGAATGTTCCACTACTGAGCAAGAACGCTATATCCGGCAACTGTGTAACAGCTGCTACAATATAATAAATGGGCATCAAAGTACGTCAACTAAAAGTGCTTGTTTTTTCCACTGACAGGTTCAGATTGTTATTATCAGTGTCTGATAAAATTATGGATGTGATTCCTACTGAGATAAACATTTTTGTAAAAGCGTAAGATCCATTTTGTCTAACCAGTAACAGCCATTATATCGCTCTGTTCAAAGCCACCAGCCCCCATTGACAAAAACGGTAATTAGCTTACAGAACACAGAAACTGATAGTCTACTGTTTGTTTGTGATTGTGACTTTCAGTGGTGGAAGGAGTATTCAGATTCCTTTACTTTACTCAAAGTACCACACAATAACATAAACAAAGTAACTGATCGAGGCAGCGGTTTGTTATAATGTTGATGATCCAGAAAAGAAAGCTTATCCTACATTAGTACCCAGTAAGTCGAGGTGGTTCAACTCATCAGCCTAATACCTTAAATGTAATTGTAAAATCCATGCAGAACCTGTATCATAATAACATTATGCATGGATTCTCATTAGAAATGCATGAACTTACATCAGAGAGCAACACAGTGAATCAATTTTATGTTATTATCATATAAATCAAATTTATAGAGATTAATATGAAACACAAACATAAAGATTTTTTTTCAGTTCAGTTTCAGTTTTAGCCTTACAGTGGTAATAATAATATCAGCACTGTTGTTCTATTGGAAGAAGTCTTAATATCCACCTCTGTGGCTACACAGTGTTGCCTTGGATATTCAGTGTGCACAGTGTGTACAGTTTACATGTATTACTGTAATAACTGGTGTATTAAAGCCATAAAACACTAGAGGACATACTTTCCTTGAAACATGAGTGATATAATGTGTCCTTGTCTCATGCAAATGTGACCCATTTTTCATTCTCTGGACCACCGTGTGGCATGACTTTTATTTTGTAAGATGCCATGAAAACTACTGTATCTGCATCAACTGACTGAAATGTTTACAGTGTCCAACGTCTGCAGGTCTTCTGAGTTTGTCAATTAAAGGCATAGTTAGACTTAGACCACAAGATCAATACCACTCTCATGTTTGTGCTGTAAATATGTAGCTAGAGCCAGCAGCCAGTTAGCTTAGCTTAGCACAAACACTGGAGGTAGGGGGGAGAAAGCTAGACTGGCTCTGGCTTTGATTTACCAAACAATTTCTATCAGTATTAGTAAATATATATATAAATATATGCTAGAATTTGGAATTCATTAACTGAAATCTATTGTATTCTACTATATTTTGCACAAGCTTTGCTGCCTCTATGATGAAATTGTTACCATTATTAAAACATACATTTTCATTGGATTCCGATTCACTGAACATGATATATAGCAAATACTGGCTCAGTCCTATGCAAAATCTGTGCATCAATAGAATAAACCCCCAAGTGCTATATCAAATATGTATCAGCAATGAAGAGATGTGGTACAATGAATTCTGTTCTTGGAAATGAATCGACTTGGTAGAGCAGCACATTTCACATTTCCTATGTCTCTGAAATGGTTTTATCAAGACAGACCCAGAGAAGGTTTTATGAAAACGTTATCTTCACACGAGGCCTGCGCGCAAGAGAAATGAGAAACTGCTGGATTGCTCAGAACGAAATGTGAAGAAAGAAAGTGAGAGAGATGGAAATGACAAGGAGAAAGTAAGACAGCCGTGAACACGAGAGGGACGAAGACTGAGACGAGGCGAGTGTGAGAGATAAACAGTGAAGGACATCAGTCCAAAGCCAGTGTCTCTGTGGAGCAGTACGGGAAATCTGATTTTATCTGATTCTGATTTGAACAGCGTCAGGCCTGAAGTCAGATAATACAGTACACATGATGGACATGATATTATATTCATGGGGGCTGTTATATGCCTAGAAACCATTACATTACAAGTTGGCATGTCAGAGAGATGAGTTAACAAATGGTTAATGGATGGTTTTAAGGGGAATTATGTGCTAGCAGACTTTCTTGGCTAGTAGCAGTAACTTCATGAAGTTTCTGCTGGTTGCTTGGCAACACTTTGTTTTTGTACAGCTTGAATAAATGTTTTAATTTGTGATCTTTATTAAAAGACAGCTTTTATCATTTTCAGACAGAGCCAGGCTAGATGTTTCTCCTTGTTGACAGTCTTTGTGCTAAGCTAAGCTAAGCTCTTACTATATGTTTAGATATTAAATCAATCTTCTCATTTAACTCAATTCAGCAAGAAAGCAAATTAATGAATTAATTGAAAAATAAATAAATAGTTGTAAAATAGCTGTGATTAAGTAATTTTGTGTTTATGTATCAGATATCACGTCAGGTGCTGGTTGACCAGTGGCAGGCAGCAGGTGCACATGTGGGTCATCCTGGTGCACTCGTCTCCACCGTGATTGAATTAGCATAGATTCCAGGAGACATTAGGGAGGATATCTCACTAAAAAATCAATACCAGGCTACAGAGGGCTGTGTCTTAATGTCAACGGACCTCTTTCTCTCTTTCTTTGCCTTGCTTATTTTTCTTACTCCATTCTCTCTTTCTTCTTTCCTGAAATTATTATATTTTTTGATCATTACTGATACAGACACCATCGTCAGGCTTTCAGCAACACTTTTAATTCAACGAACCTTTAATGCAACCAAAGTTTTATTTAAAGACAACATTAATTCCTACTTTATTATTCAACTAAATGCAGTTAAACTTCACAAAATATCCCCAAAAAAAACTCCAGACCGCTTCACACCAGCACTTCTTCTAAACACTGAAATGAAAAAGAAGGAAAGAGATGAAATGAGTTTAAAATATTCATCAGCACATGTTCATTTCCTGGGCAGAAGATTATTTTGGGAGAAACTGCTTTAAACATCATCAGGTCCTTACTGGAGACTTTACAACTTTCTGTGTCGCAGCAAAGTGTGAAGACCTGATGGTGTGTGTGTGTGTGTGTGTGTGTGTGTGTGTGTGTGTCTGTGTGTTTAACCACCCATGTAGAAAGAAGTGATGTCACCACATCAGACTATGCCAGTTGGCATGGTCAGATATCCTGTCCTGTGTAGTCCTGAAGCCCCACTACCCTTGCATGTCTGTGATTTCCCATGATTCCTGGTGGGTAAACAAGCAGTTCTCCTGCTTGATTTAAGCCCATCTAAACACAAACAGTAGCTCTGCTGAGGTTTCCGTGCTGAAGATTATATAATTCTTCTTCTTCTATCCCCCTTAGTTCATGGAAATGAACCTGTTTTCTCCTTCTTAACTTCACACTCATACAGATCCATGGCCACTGGTAGATCTTTTTGACAGTCAGTTTGATTGATACTTATATCAGTTTCATGTCCAACCGGCCTCCAGCACTGGACTCTATCCATCACGCCCCCAAGAAGGTCAGAGTGCACTTTGATCCAAAACGGCTGATGCATGAACTGAACGGCCTTTGGACTTTAATATGTGTTAGAGGAGGCCTCAGGCTCGTGGAGAGCACAAAGCTGTTGTTTTGTTGTGTGCGCAGCGGTTAATGTGGTTATCGTGTGCTCACTGAAGTGTGTTATTATGTGATGAAGCCCATGCACAAAGACATAACAGCATATGAGTCTGCATGGATGTTCTTGTTCTGTGTGTACATATGTGTATGTGTGCGTGTGTGCGTCTGAACACGTGCCAACTGTGTAAGCCAAATCACAGTGTTTCATTACTGGAGCTTTGTCAACAAATCTGTGGTACCAGCCCAGTGAACATAACAAATATAGCACATGCCATTTGGTGGACGAGTTTATCCTGAGAGTCTGTGCAGAGACATGCAGGAATATATTTATGGCGTTTTGATATGTTCTCTGGAGATTTTTCGCATCTTTTCTGAGGTTTCTGAGGAGCTTGTAAATTTTTTCATCTGCCTGATTCTTAATTAGGTGGATGTAAATCTGTCTATATGCAACGCTGCCTCATAGAAATTATGTTTCCATACAACTAAACTGTAAGAGCAAATATGTTTTATAGGAAACATAACTGTGACCAGATTAGGATCTTACATAACAATAACAATGAAGATATATTTACATATCAGTAAAATGTTCATAGACATAATAGAAATATTTGTTTTCCTCCAAAATATCTGATCTTGTAGCACCATATCCATTTGCTGTGGCTACAGCATTATTACACTTTTCATGGTTATGTTTGGGGACTCACCACAGCACTCATTAAGTTTAAGGAAAGATCCTGGTCTGGTTTAATACAGAAAAAGTTCACAGTGACTTCAGACAGCAATGCCACTAACATCTTCATTCATTTTAACAAAAAAAAAGAGAGAAAAAAGTTGCCTTTCCATGTAATCCAGCCAGTAATCACATTTCCTACAAAACATTTTTGCTGTTTGCTGTGTGGTTGCTATCTCAAAAGGCTTTCTAACCCATGATCCATGTACCACTGACACGGTACCGATCATGCTTATGTTTTAGGTGCTATTTTTCATCTATTTTCACACAGCGTTTCACTAGCTGTGAGAAAGTAAAGCTCTTACTGTCAGTGTGTGGTGGTGTGTATGTGGCCATTCTCTACCTAAATGATTTTTCTGTGGTCAGATTCTTTTCATGAGCAGTATTTACTTATTCTCTGTGACATTTTATTCCCATGACTTTGCTTCATTCTTGGGTCAAATATAGCTGATGAAATCCTTCCCTTTTTCTGACTGATTGTTTTAGCTACATTTTGGCAAATTTGTGTATGTGTATATGTTTGATATGTATGTTTTTTTTGTGTGTAAGTAGATTGATACTGCTATGAGGTTTGTACACTAAAAATTAAGCTAGATACAACAGATAATTAGCTTAGCTTAGCATAAAGACTGGAAACGGGGAAACATCTAGCCTGGTTCAGTCCAAAGGTAACGGACTCCACCTACCAGCGCTTGCTCACACATTAACATGTTACATCTGGTTTGCTTAATCTGTACAATAACCAAAGTGTGTGGAAACAACATGGCAAGTCTTGTCATTTTTAAGATGTGTTCATATAGAGAGAAAAATGAATCTTCTGCTTTCACCACTTGACTGTTTGTGCAGTCTCAACTGATTCATCCAAAGCAGGTTATATATCAACTGTACAGATGTAAGCTGCAGATTAGCAACATATGTACTTCCATTTTTGTTTGGATAAAACCAATGAGATATAATGTGTTAATTAGTGAGCTTTAAAGATGCTGGTTCATTTTGTGAGAGCCAGGTTATCTAAACAGCTGTAGCTCCATTCAGCATACACACATGAGAGAAGTATCAATCTTCTCATTCAACTTTTAGCAAGAAAGCAAATAAGCAGAAATGTCAAACTAGTCCTTGAAGGTTGAGCTGTTTCAACAACATCAGACGAGATCAGTCACACTCAAAAAAGTGATTTCAAATAGTAATTTGACCCACCTCTGCTGTCCTGCACTGTTGCCCTTCACTGATCTCTTTCATTTATTCCTCTTTTCCGCTTCACTTCTCTTTCTTTTCCTCTCTTTCTTTCTGTCTGTCTGTTAGAGTAAAGATGCCGGCATCAGGACTCTGGTCATGTTGGATGAGCAGGGAGGTAAGTTGACAGGGAGCGATCACCAAACAACCGGTTTCACCTTCAATCTGCTCAACTCAACCAATTCTCTCTCGCTGCTTGCTATAATGGGAGAATCGTCATCAGCAGCACATCTGGTATAAGACTGTAGAGTCCGAATCAAATTTACAACACCAGGGAAAATGACCTTTATGGTTTTATAATTACTAAAGTAAATTAACAGTTTATTTCTTTTTGAGCTTGTGCCAAGTCTTTAAAAGGAACCTTAGCTACACTGTGAACTAATGTGGCCAACATGATTATACTGGATGTGACTGCTTCAGCTAGCCTTCTGCTTTGCCTCCCTATTATTTCACTTTTATGCTTATTTGTCAGATGAATATATATTAAATTCATCTTATAGATTATATTTTAGCTGTATGTTAAACTGTAAAACAAGGACATGAACCACTTTAAAATCAATGTTTCTAACCTTGCTCTCTGAAACCTGGTTGAGATGTTTTCCAGGACACGTGACTGACTGAGTCAGAGGTCAGCTGGTAATTGATATATTTTACTATTATACTTTTTGAGAGGTAAAACAATTGACTGGTAACAAACTTGTGCACTATTTCCTCATATTCCTCCACAACCTCTCTAGTTCTGCCCTGTTTATGGCTCAATCCTCCAATAAGAATTAAAGGGTCCCTCCACAGGCTTTAGATGTCCGCCAGTGTACCAGTCTCACACAGTCCCACTCAGCCTGCCAGATCAGATGTGTGATGTCTTCTGCTGCTCTGGAGGAGCTTTCTAAAGCCTGAGAAAGTGGCATCACTTGGTTCCGATCACTTCAAATAAAGCAGTCTTTATTTGTGACTCTTCATCAGAGGTGATGGCCTTTCTGAGCAGTTCAACCAAACACTGATTTGTCTTGTTCAGATTGCTTCATTTGTAAGTTTTTCAGGGGCCTGAGTAGGTAAAAGTATCCAGTTCTTCACAAAAGATTTTGAGAAAAGTACATATTAATGTAACAGAAAATATTGTAATAATGTAGTGCATTCTTATTTCAACTTTGATGACTGTAAGAGCTTAATTGCACCAGCTTTTACTAAGTGGATATTTTACTAAATTTACTTACTAAATTAAAATTTGGCGTGCCACACAAACTTGCTTTACATTGAGATAATATTTACACCCAGTAACTGCTGGGTGTAGCTGAACTACCAAACCTCACATTAGCTTGCTAATATAATATGGCTTGTTTAGAAAGGAAAGTAAAAGAGATGTATAGAATAGCGACGACACTCTGATATGACACTTTATCACAGTTTTTAAATTACATTTCTCAAAGACAATACCATGTACCTTATAATTACAAAACATTATGTAAATTACACTGGCCTCAATACCACGTTTCCGCTCAGTCTCAACCGCGCAAATACTACCAACTGTGATACACATATTCCTCCATGTTTGCACATATAAATAAAACAAAGCCATACCTAAATTTACAAAATGTTGGCAGTCAAGTTCAATATATCTTTATTTTTGAAGGTTATGCTACAGCTGTTGACTTCCTGTTAACACTGTTAATTGATTGGATGTTCTTTAACACATCACTGACATCTTTAGTTTTAATGATGCAACCTAATTTAGTAAGTCAGTAGTTTGAAACTAAGTAGTGGAGACTAAGATACTTAGGAAAGACTTTATGCTTAAACTAAGTAATGGATTTATGGATAGCTGCTGCAGCTGAGCACTGATTTGCAGTGAAATATAAAGTCAGACAGAGGGATGTTTTGATACTGAAGAATTCAATTTTTACACAATCCGTGTACTCATACAGAAATGTAATATATAATATATATGTCCCTATATCAAGAGATATATAAGGAGATATATTATTATCACATATATATATCCTCTGGCAATATGGACATATACGTTTATAACATATGAAATACCCATAGTAAATATTTGTATGTACATATAATGAAAATATCTATATGATGGATTTTTATATGGTACAACATGTTGCAACCATGTTAACAATACATGTTTGATTCATACGTATATGCAAGTTTATTAAAACAACATACATATGAAAATTCTATACGCTTTTATATATGTTTTTCCCATAAATTTCTTATTAATTTTAAACATGTCTATCTTCCCATTCTATGGAAGTAGTCTCAGACTTCTGGACCCTCTGTATATAATATCAACATATATTGACAGGTTTTGGGATGGGTTTGGGATATATATTTATGTAACATACATAAAACATAAACATACATATTTGTATGGGCTGGACATATATGTCGAGATATCAAATTGTTCCAATTTCTAATAGGTTTGATATATAAGTTTTACATATATGTTTTTATTTTATATGTACATATATTTCATATATTGAAATTCAATATATATAAGTATATTACATTTGTGTATCTTAAAGTGTTTGATTCTTTTAATATTTTAGAGAGACTGTACTTGACACCATGAACTTTGACTGAATGACTGGAGCATGAACAGAGAGGGAGAAAAGCTGCTAAGCACAAGCCAGATTAACACTATAAGTCCTCTTTTATTCTGTAAATCTTGGTCAGAGCGACAAAGTTCCTATGTTCAATCAGACTAATGTTTCCACTTTTTCACATTTTATACTCGCATGAAAGTGGCTGGTGTTTTGTGGGTACGTTTACTGTGTGCAGCGGAGCGTCTACTCATAATATGCGTTGGAGATGTGTGTGTATGTGTGTTACCGAAGGCCTGTACTTAGTTCCATGCGTGAAAGAGCAGTCTAATTGGCCTGTCAAAGGAACAGATAGCCTGTTTCCCCCCTTCGCGTTCTCTTTCGTCCTGTCTTTTCCCCTGGAGAAACGGCTGCTACAGCGCACAGCTCACTGCTGTTATCACAGGACACCAATCAATTCACAGATTTAAATTACCTCTGCCTCTCAGCTAATGTCCTCTATACCTGATCCCCATCTGTCTAGCTCTCTTCCCCGTCTTCTCTTCTTTTCTTTATTTCATGTTCCTATTCTTTCTCGCCAGCACCTGCTCCCTTTGCTTTTCTCTCCTGACTTCCACTTTTTGTTTCGCTTTTTCAGTTCATTTGCATGGAGATCCCTCCATTACATTAATGATGAGGCCCTTTCTCGTCTTTCTTCTTTCTAGTCATCCTTCTCCTTCTCCCGCTCCTAACTCCTCCTTCCTGTTTGCAGTGAATACTGAACTATACAAGCCTCTACTTTATTTGTCTGTGACATATTTTACATGTTATTTACATCAAGAATTCCTTCTTACATTGCCAAAGAAAAAAAAGACTTGTAAGTAATATCCTTCCATGGTAATCAATGAAGTCTTGTGGAGCTGTAAACAGGGGGGGAGCTGTCCTTTACACACACACACAGGTCATACATAGGAGGAGATTTGTCGTTACTTGCAGTGATGTATATCCTGTGTTGGAGGTCTCACTGCAGCTAATGAGTTGCTCCCTGCTTGGCTGTTACGTCCGTGTTGACCTGAATTACACTCAGTCAGGGCTGATGAATTGCATCTGGTCGTCAGTGAGCCCCCACACATGTAGCAAGATGTCATAGCTCAGGGCACAAGACATTGGTTTGATTTTAGCTCTTGCAGGTTGAAGATGTACATGGAGTGTGATTGTTTTTTTTTTGTTTTATATTGATACATTTATTTTAAATTTCTTAAATTAATAACTGGAGATCATAGGTTTCCTTCTTTTTGTTTATTGGACTGGAGCATCACAGCTTGTCCCAGTGACTCTCCTCTTTTCCTGTTTCTCTTGGATCAATGTTGAACCCAAAAATAGATTTACTTGCATACCAGTCAATGACACACAGTAAGCCAACAACATACATCAGTGTCTCATTTTCGTCTCCATGACACTGCAAGTAAAGTGAATTGAAATGATGGACTGGTGCATTTCAAGAGTTATATCTTACAGAACCTGGTGAAGCACGAAGTGAACGTCTTTATTTAAATCTGACAAACTGAACTGGAGATCTGGCTGGGATCAAAATGTTTGAATACATTTTATGGCCTGGAGTCAGTGTGTACTTACCTGTACTATTTTGAGATTTTTAAAGAAATACTTTTTATCATAATATATATCTGATGTGGGTATAATGACACCCCTTTAGGAATGGGATAATAAAGCAGTGAGTGCAGCATATTAGAAAGTTAATGCAAAGTTTACTATTACCAGCATTGCTGTAATGGAGCACACCTCACCATCTGCTTTTAAAACTGTATTTTTAATAAAAAGCTTTTATGGGAATTTCCTTGTAGAAACAGAACTGTGGCCTAATGCCAACGTGGTTTAAATAATAAAATGAATGATGGCTGATTTCCATTTAGCTGCTTCACTTTCAGGTTCAGTCACGTCACTTGAATAGAATAGAGCTATTGTTAATGTTATTAGTAACACCTGTGTTTTTCCTGATGCTGTGAAAAAGGCCTATTGCACCTATTAAGTCATCCTTCTTTCTAGCTGGTTAAACCTGTGACTGACTCACGGTCCAGGAGGGAGGAGGGAGGAGGGAAGGGGAGGGGAGGGGAGGGGAGGGGAGGCCCTCAGCCCTGTAATCCTCAGACGAAGGGGAGGAGGCAGGTTGTTAAGTCTGGCCTGGCTGTGCAAAGGCGAGGAGATAAACAATGCCTCTCTCTCTCACTCTCTCTCCCTCTCACGTTCCTCCTCCTCTGACTTACCTGATTAATGTAGTCATCTTTATGAAACATTTGTTCCGTGTATTTTCAGAGCACTGGTAGACTGACTCCTTCCCTCCCTGCTGGTTATAGTTAGGATGTTGGTTATGTAGAAAGTGAAGTCCACTGTTGCAGAGAGGAAGATAAAACACAGAGCAGACGTTTAGTGAGGAACATGTAGTTTTCCAGTTCCATGTTCTGTAGCTGATAGTGTCTACCCCCTGTTTATTGAGGCTCTGTATCTGTATGAAATGACACAACTTATTGTTTGTTGCTTCCCAGATCAAATGAGTCTGATCAGGCAGGATAAGTACAAACAGCTGAGCGTGTGCAGAGCTTTTAAGTAAAAGAACAGAAGTATTATCTGCAAATTGCTCTTAAATGATCAAACATAGAAGCACCATTTCAGCAGAAGAATGCCCCTTTGAGTGTTATATTATTATATACAACATTATTAGTTAGTTAATATTAATGCATCAATGCATATTAAGCATTTTACTGTTGCAGCTGGTTGAGATGGAGCTAATTTGAAGTAGTTTATATTCAGTTAGCTACTTTAATCTACATCAGTCAATTATAATGTATTTACCGTAAAGTACTTAGTTCTGAAATACAGTGGATTAAAAGTTTAAAGAATTTGGCTTAAAAGTATATGAGTAAAGTCTGACTACCTCAAATCGTACTCAAACATGGTACTTGAGTGAATGCACTTAGTTACATTCACCACTGATGACAGACAAGGTAAGCCAAGGTTGTAATTTACCATCAGATGTTGTTAATGAGTTCAACTAATTATTAGCAGCTGCAGCACCTGAACCTGTGTTCTGTGGTCATCGGAGTCCTCTGCACTACAGTGTGACTAATCAAATCTTAAGAGTTTCTCTTGGAGGACAAAATGGGCCTTTTCCCCTGATGGAGATTACTGCCGTCCTGTCCTATAACCATTAACCAGCCACAGAGAGGATCTGACCTTGAATCAGAGCCTTTTTATAGCTCGGTGCCCTATTGACCACCTGAGTAAGGAAACGCGCATGACTTCATGTGCCTGAATGATGGTTTCCATCACATTCATTTCATGATTTGTTTATTGATTAGCTGCTCGTTCATTCGTTTGTCTTTCAGGGCTGTCACATCTTCATGAGCTGGTTTCTGGTGTTCCTCTAAACTTTGCATCATCAGGGCAGCCTTAGATTTCTCTCTGTGTCGTCTATCTCCGCTCTCACTGGTATGCAGTAGTATTCATACAGTCGTGTACAGATACAGCTGGATGAAGCATACTGCCTCTCCTGCTCAGATGAAATACTCAGAAAAGAAATACATTCCTCTGGATGGAGGTAGGAAACAAAATGTAGAATCCATAGGGGAAAAAAATCACATGCAAAGCAAAAGCGTGTCAACAGTAATACCCAGGTAATACCCAGGTAATCTTCGTGCTTGTTGCCTTCTTTGCCTTCTGCATCTAGACAAAATATGTTGCCTCTTGCACTGTAGCATCTAGAGCGCCAACCCTCAAAAAATAAACAAACCAGTCAATCTTATTTCACTGCTCTCATGCCTTTGTCCTTACCAGAACAACTTGATCGTGTGGAGGAGGGCATGAACAAGGTGAACGCAGACCTGAAGGAGGCCGAGAAAGATTTAAAAGATTTAGGACAATGCTGTGGTCTGATATGCCCATGTATTAAAAAGTAGGTACCGGCCAGGAGCCCCACGCTCTTGCCTGTCCAGTGCTGGTGGTGGTGGTGATGTCTGATGTCTCTCTTGTCACAGTCAATGTCTTTTTTTGTCTCTTCTCCTTTGTTTCCCCTCTCTACTCCCCTCCCTTCCTTCCACCTGCGACTTCTTCCTCCTCTCTTCTCTTCTCACGTGCTTTCGTTCTTTTGCTGGGAAAAATGACAATGTGTTGGTAATCAGAACAACTGGAGCGCATCGAGGAGGGGATGGACCAAATCAATAAGGACATGAAGGATGCAGAAAAGAATTTGAACAATCTAGGACAGTTCTGTGGTCTATGTTCATGTCCCTGTAACAAGTAGGTGCTGCCTGTGTCGCCTGACTACATGTGTTTCAGTGACCGCCTACCTGCCTCTCTATCCGTCTGCCTGCTTCTGGTGTATAGAGCATGGTGACCTGTGGTGTGAGCAGTCAGGCCCATAGCCACAACAACACACTCTCTGAACAGGCACCAGCACTGCATGCACGTGTGGGTGTGTTGAAGTTGAGACTGGATTGAGTGAAACATTGTGTGCGTGCATAAACAAAACACACATGCACAACAGGTCCGATTGCCACTTTATTTGCTCTCCAGCCTCCTTGTCTGGTGTCTTCAAAAGCCCTTCATTCCACATTGGATGAGAGATTCTCTTCCAGCAGGTAGCAGCATCAGCAGGGATCTGGCCACAGCACCCACCATACCCGTGAACCCCACCCGAGCACCCACCCTAACACCCTGCAGCATGATGCATGCTGTGTACAAAGTCCAAGCAAAGAGTAAATCAACTAGCTAACTTCTCTACTAAATTTTTTATTTTGTGGTCATTTATAAATCTATTAACGTTGGTATTTACATGGATCTCTTGCAGTGCATTCAAAGAAAAGTATCTGATTTTAAATGAAATGTTTAATTAAGGCTCTTAGTTCCTGGAATTTAGGAGATGCAAAGCATGCTGCTGATTTATTGTGCATTACATTTGAGAAACTGGCTGCTATTTTAATCAAGTATGTGGCAGTACAGTATATTATACAACTGGTACTTGCAGCCAAGCAATCTGAATGATCATTCAGATCAGATGCCTATTTTAAAGTTATAGTTCAATATTTCAGAAATATGCTAATTTGCTTTTTTGCAGAGAGTTGGATGAGAAGATTGATACCACACTCATGTCTGTTGGAGGAGGTGGCAGACGATTGGCTGAGAAACAGGGGAAACAGATAGCCAGCTAGCTCTGTCCAAAGCTAACAAGACACTCCTGCCGTTACCTCGAAAGCTCATGAATTAATTAAGCAAATTAAATTGTGCTTGTTTAATATAAAAACTAAACATAGCAATTTTCCAGGGGGTTATGAGCTGCACTATCTTTAGAGGAGCTGTTAGATTAATTTTGACAGTGCTTTGACAGGCTTGGTGTTTCCCCCTGTTTCCATTTATTGTGAGAAGCTAAGCTAACTAGCTGCTTGTGTAGCTTCATATTTACATGGCAGTGGTGTCCACTCATTAAACTCTCTACAGGAAGTCAAATGAACAAAACTATCCCTTTAAGTATAATTTTTTTGAGTCCAAGTTCTTAGGTGCAATGATTGTTTTTTTTATTCCTGATGTATAATATTTTCTATACATTTTTCAGGCAGTACACAGTGGTTAAATTGTAAGTAAGGCTTAATATAGTTCAGGGTGTTCTCTGCTCTGTAAACAGATGTGAAGGTGATGCAACATATTATTTATTTCATGACCTATTCCAGTACACAAACCTTATAATTAGAATAAAGATGCATTTTAAAGAAATGAGAGCTACTAAAATACCCAACTTACTCTTTAACAAACCAACTGTGCCGTATGAACCTGAGATATGAACTAAAGATGCCTTGGAGCCTCTTCCCTCTCCTCCCTCAGGACTGTCCTACAGAATGAAATATCGTGCATGAGTTAGGCAAACGTTTTTATAATCACACTCTACATCGGGTAATACCATGTTAATGTTAAAGCTCTGAAACCCTGTATTTGTGGCTTTGTTAAGAAGATGGATTTTTCATGCCAGTTTTGCCAAACTCCTGTGTGATCTGTTCTCTGGACCTTCACAGCCAAACTATGGCCACTGAGTCATGTCTGAGCATACTATATTCTGGGACCAATACATGTACTGTATACAGTTGTTTATCTCAGAGCTATAGAAAACACAAGTGGCTGACAAACCAAGACAGAAATGGCTATTTTGCATATTTTGTGTTGGGTTCGCAGCAACATATTTCTCATTCAATCCTCTGGGAATGAATTAAGTGAGGTCATAATGATTTATAATACATGGGATACACTATATGTAATATTTATATTATTGTTGGTTATTAGTATAAAATGTGTTTTTTGAGAAAAGGCAAACAGACCCAAAACAATTCTATAGATAGATATATGATTTTCTATTTTACATCTGACCTAGAAAGCAAAATTGTGGTACTTCTTTGCCTTCAGTGTGTATCACAATAATTCTTATAAACATTCTGGAGATTAAATTCGGCACATCAAATTATTATTTTGTCCAAAACAGGATTATCATGAGCAGGATGTTGACAATAGTATAGTTACAATGGTTACAATGTGTAACTAATCTGTTTTACTAGTTACTTCCTGATTTTGGACTGAACTTTTCGTTTTCTGTATGAAGGTATATTTGGGGTTTTTGCTGCCTCCATTTGGTCCATTTTGGTCCTGCTTCCAGGGTTCAGATCTTGTCTGTTCTATAGCTCTTTGATCCTCCCTGTCACAAACCACTTGTTATGTAATCCTGTGGTTATGTCATGTGTTTCATCTGACTCTATTTTATGGCGGCCCTGGGTCAAATAGCATAATAAAGATAATTCTTGCTTGTTGTTATAAACTGTCTGGAGCACAGAATGGGTGTGATTTACCACCTCAAGACAATACTGCTACATACAATAGTTTTCCTTCATTGAAAAGTGAACAAAATCAGCTTTTAAACAGTGTATTTAAACAACCATCGTATTGTCCCTAGTGGTGACTTCCACCCATAAGGTACTTCAAGCATAATAAAACAAATGCTAAGAATTACATTTGACTATTTGACTGTATACAGTGTATCATCCTACAGATCTATCCATCCAGATGAAATGAAGGGCTCATCACAGCTACTGTATCACTTAGTCTTGCATGCAAAATGTTCTTCGGTTGGTTTTCCACAATGGATCTAACTATTTGGTTTTCTTTTAATAGATACATGTGTCTGATCCTGTTCCTCTCTACGTGTTTTCCCTGCCCGTGTCAAACATTGTGTACTATGTGTCTGCCTTGCATGTCCTCTCACTCTGCATGTTTATATGTATGTGTGTGTGTTTGTGTCTCCTCTGTCTGGAGTCTGGTTACTGTGTTTGTGCTCTTCTCTATGTGCTTGTGGGAGAGTGTTTTTAAGTCTTAATTACTTTCTAACACAAGTCATATGTGAACTTATCGTGCTCGGATTCAATTGATCTGCATGTTAGATCAATTATTCACTAACAGACTGCAAGTGCATGTATGTGCCTTTTATCATACGTGGCATGTTGCTTTTAGTAGCTAAATGGCTTGAAACCATACGATCCAATGCTTTCTAAACATATATTAATGTATATGTTTTTTATAGTAAATCGCTAGAAAACATGCACTTACATAGACAAGCATATACACATTCACACACCCACACACACACACCCACACAGTGTCACACACAGTGGCCAACATACTGTACACTTATAAGCACACCCACAGTGCACCTAATCTGCTACATTCACAAACAAGCAAACAAGGGCGCACACATACCTGTACACAAACAAATACAAAAAGAAACACTCAAAACAACAGTTCCACTGGCCCTGACTGAAATGTGTGTGTGGTAGGATTAAGGGTGGGGGCCAGGCCTGGGGATCGAACCAGGATGGAGTGGTGAACAGCCAGCCAGGGGCTCGAGTGGTGGACGAGCGTGAACAGATGGCCATCAGTGGGGGCTTCATTCGCAGGTAAGTGCGTGTGTGTAGGTGTTGGCCTGCGTGTGCCCCTCTGTATGTGTGTAGCTGGCATTCTTGTTTGTTTGTGTGTGTTTGTGTGAGAGGTCCTAAATGTTTGTGTCTTTGTGCATATTTGAGTAGGTGATAATGTTTATATAATGTTATATGAGACTTATCCTGGAATAGATTGCCCATTTTGACTTTTAAAGTAATATTTCACCATCATTATGGACAGTATGTCAGTTAGTGATACTATTTGCTGTTGGAACAATACAGTTTCCCCTTGGGAATGGATGAAATTGTATCTCAATGTACTGTAACATTTCTAAGCTAACAGAGTGAAGGAATTCCCAGAGGTACCAGGACACATTCAGCTCAGTCTGCAACAATGAGTTCAATAAGGCGATGTAGTTGTTTCATATTTAGAAAAAAAGAGTTACCACTGGAACAAATTTGGATATACTGTATAAACCTGATGTTATTTCACTACTTTCCAACCTTTTTGTGTGTGACCCTCAACAAAACCTGAAAAGGTAAAACTTTTTACAAAAAAACAACAATTAGAGATACATCCAACAAAAAAGAATTCAAATTTGTTTAGCAGAGCTTCATTTGAATCATCTTGCGACCCAGTGGAGGGGTCCTGACCCTCTAGTTGGGAATCACAGTATAAAATTATAAAATATAATTCACGTCATGTGGATCTGAGTGCTTTGGGGTAACAGGGTGCTTTCGTCTGTTGAGTTTTTTTGGTTCCTTGAAAACAGGACTCTCTCAGTCATGTAAGGTGCTGTCCATGGTACTGACTCTTCAGACAACCTATAACATGAATGAGACAGAGTAGGCCATGTGGTAGATAAATACATTTTAATGAGTAGCCAGTACCCCTTATTGTTTCATCCTTAAATGTCCTAATATCTGAAAAAGAAAGATACTGACTAGTTTTACTGATGTCCAGGAATTCATTTAAAACATATTGTATCTACTTGTCCCGTACTGTACTGTACTATGGATAGATAGATAGATACTTTATCTATCCTCTAGGGGAAATTCATGTGTCCATTATCCCATTGTTGATAATAAAATAATAAAAACAGTTAATAATGAATAAGCAATAATAATAATTAGATTAGTCCACATCCTTTGGCTGAGGTGTTGTATAGCCTGATGGCAGTGGGAACAAAGGATCTCCTGAACCAACCATCCTCTCCACAACATTCTGGCAGGATAGAGAAGCAGCTACAGGTGCAGCGCAGTTAGATGAGACGTTTGCTGCACCTGTAGCTGATTCTCTATCCTGACAGAATGTTGTGGAGAGGATGGATGGTATTGTCCAATATGGCCTCCATCTTACATTGCATGCGTTATACAGTTATACAGTTATACAGTTTTGTGGTGCTTGTGCTTTTGAGCACAATCCAACAGGTCACAACAGTATCTACCACGTAATCTATGGCCATTAATTAGTCCCACTTCCTCACCCTGTGTGCTGTAGGGTAACAGATGATGCCCGGGAGAATGAGATGGATGAGAATCTGGAGCAGGTGGGCGGCATCATTGGCAATCTGCGTCACATGGCCTTGGACATGGGCCAGGAGATTGACACCCAGAACCGCCAGATTGACAGGATCATGGAGAAGGTACTGCACAATGAGCACTACATGTATACCACTGCCATGGAGAAGATCAGGGAGTGTTTGCAGTATTTTTTAGAGAATTGAATGACTCTTATGTACTACTCCTCGCTATTTTAAATTCATAGTTATTGATGGAAACAAGTCAGTTGTTACTAGGCAACAACCTCTACTAGTTGTTGGAGCAGAAAATTACAGTTGAATCCAAAGTTGGACAAAGACAGTGGCAACAGAGTTTATTGGTAAAACTGTGATGCTCCAAAATATTGGCAACATGGGACAACAGCCCGATACAATGTGAGGCTCAAGGAGGAAATACAAGTACAGATTTGCTGTATTTATGTATTTGTATTGATGAAACTAGAAAATTAAGACGCTACAAAGTGCACAAGATTTTCAAGACTACTCAGTGAAATAACCATTTAAGGGCCCATTTATATTAATGCTAGGAGAAGGTGTGAAAAGCTATGGGGGCAAACAGAGTGTGGTCAAATTTATGCATTTAGTTAATGCAAGAAAGTCTAGTTGTAACACTGTATTGTAAGAATTACAGGTAAACTAAGTAAACGAAAGGTAACAAACTAGAAATAATGTTACTAATATACAGTAGAGAGTATAGCATTTAGCTGATATTTGGTGTGGTTTACATGTGTAGCATTAGGCAATGTGACAGCGGATGCAGCGGTGCTGATTTAGAGCAGATTATGCCTGGGTTTGACACACTAATGGAGAAAATCTGGTTCACATGCCAATGGACAAAATCTGGGTTAAACATCATTTGTCCATCAGTATGTATGTTTTTATAAAAGTTTCTCATCTCCACCATCTAGCACTGGTTTGACCACTTTTCCGACTGTTACCTGAGCGGAGTAAGAACCCGTCTTTTTGTTTTCCTTCCAGGCTGATTCCAACAAGACCAGGATTGACGAGGCCAACCAGCGTGCGACAAAGATGTTGGGCAGTGGCTAAACTGCAGTGAAAAAGTGCTTTCATCCCCGTTTAACCCCAGGCACCCTAAAAATAACAACACCAACCAAACCCAGCCCGACCCCCAACACCAACGGCGCCCTCTTCCTTGGCTCAACAGCAGGCGCTACAATATCATGCTTTTATTGTGATACTTGTAGAAGTTTGTACACATGCACATATCATACATCCTTCTGCCCCCCCCCATTCCTGACCATCCCTTCCCTCAGTCCCTTCCCTCCCCTTATTGTCAGTGTTGTTCTGTGTTGTCACTCTTTTGATTTTGTTAAGAAATAATAGTTCTGTCACACAACGTCCACTCAAACTCTCTCCATACTGTACATAGTGCTTCTTAAATGGCTTAATTGATTTAGATCACTTGTCCTGTGTTCTTCATCACTCTTTTTTTTTAAGTCTGCGTGTAATATAAACTGTATGTACACCTTGTTCCATGATGCCCCCACCCCCATGTCAGTATTCTGATGTTGTCCATGTGAGACACACTGTGTATTCATCCGTTAAGATGTCGTGATGGTACATGATAAGGCCACAGTGATTTGTTGTTAATATAGTGAACATGCAACATGCACAGCTTGTAACCAAGGCCGTTGTTTGAATACAGTTATTTAATGTAGATGTGGAGCCACTCAGATCTTAATAACATAGTAGACCATGGATACTCAGTGAAGTATTTGCAAGTATTTGAGCCATTTGGATGAAAATATGAACTTTTTAGTCATGACTGTTAGTGCACCAGTCTTTCACCAACTCTACTAATGGAGCAGCATTAAAACAGTTTGATGCCATATACTGTATAGTATATACTTTTTCCTCAGGGAGCTAAATCTAACCATTCAAAAGCAAGGGTTGAATTTTGAATTGATTACTGACACTTCATATTTGTATCATAAGGCTCAGTGTCTGTGCGAAACACTGCGTTTGTATGTGGTCTGAACAGCATGATTGATGGGACTCTTGTTTAACAGACAAATTATTGGGCATTAATCGTAACAGCTAACTTTGTGATTGATAATGAAAGGAGGTGGAGCTTTGCTTCGAGGTCATAGTTCAGCAGCAACCAATCCAACTGTTTGGCAAAGTTATACACACACATACCAGGCCAGACTGCTTTACCCGTGATTCAACCCTAGCAATATCAAGTACCGCATTAAGTGTTATGCATGTCCATCCACTGCTAGAAGACACTGAATAATTCATTTTTCCAGGCAAAAAATATCCTAACATGGCAACCGCATGCTACATATGTAGGCCACACAGAGGAGAGGCCCATATTTATCTGCAATAGTGCCACTCTTTTTGTTTCATGTCTGTTTACCTTTCCAGACTGTGACCATCACTGTAAAATAATACCTTGGAAAATGCCAATAAAACCATGATAAACATAGAACCAAACTACGCTTCTTTTGTATTTTTATTACACTATTGTGGAGAAAAATGTTTGCAGTCATGGTACAATACCATGCTTGAGAACAAATTGTCAGCAGCGTTATTTTATTTTGAACTGCAATGACAACCAGTGTTAGGGAAGCTACTTTGAAAGCTACCAATTACTGCATGCTGGAGGAGGTTGAGCTACAGCAAAGCTTCTCTAGGGAAATATCTAGTTTGGTTCACTAAAGCTACTTAGAAAAAGTAGTTCAAACTACTTGAAAAATTATTAAATTGACAATTTACATGTGATACAAAATTTTGACTAAATATAATCCAAAAACATCACATGCCATTTTATTGCAAAAAGTGCCTTCTTGTTTACAGGTAAATTGAAAAAAAAAAAGAAATACCCTGATATTCATGGGAAACTGCTGGAATGTCAGCTTTGGTTTTGTTCGCAATAGCTGCTTGAGTATGACCATGGTGATTCTTGATTCAGGACGTTTATCCATGATGACGTTGTCACTGTGTGAACACTGGGTGACACCACTGCCCTTGGCTTTTTGCACATGCACTGTGCATGTGGTGGCTTCCTGACGAAAGCATTCCCTGGGTGTGCCTTCACAGGGGTCAGGATGAAAGAAAAAGAGGGTGGGGCTGGCCAAAAGGGGGTTCGATTACAGTAGAGAAGCAATGGTAAAATAAAAAATCATTCCTTTCCTTTAATGGCCCAAAATGTTTTGTAGTTTCAATTGTTAACAACATATATTCATTCTGTAGGCCTACATAGATACCATTATTTAGATTGATATACGATGACTGCAACAGTAGAATTGGCTTCAGATGCCTCAAAAAGCAACAAAACTATGAAAGCAAGATCAGATGTGCAGTGCCTGCAATATAACAATTATTCTTGTGATCTTAAAAGGACCACGTGACAGAGCGGTGGTTAAAAAATAAGAAATAAAGCAAATGGTGGTCAATAGAATGGGATTTTTCACTTCTATGTGACAGAGTATTGATCAAGTATCAAGTAAACAGGAGATGATGATTTGGCAAAGGACATACACTGGAACCATGAGGCACTACTTTTTAAAAAGAGTTGAGAAAAATAAAAGAGGTTTTATCATATGTGTACTCAATACTTGTCTCATGTTATGTTTTGTGAATTTTCTCATTTCTTTCAAATGTGATTGATTTCTCTTTTGTGTTATAACAGTAAATTCCTTCACTGACTGATGGGCGACAGTTGTTCGTTCAGTCTTTATCCTCCACACACAGTCACATGACCTACAGCTTTACATAAGAAAAAGAAGATGTCACAAGCTTTAAGTTGAACTTTTTTGTAGGTTATGTTACTATAGTAATAACTTCACAATTCACAAGGGAACATAAATGTAAAATAATGTTATACTGTTATCATCCAATTGACGAAAATGTGTTTTTCCTGCGCTGTTCCACAGAGAGGTCAGAGATCAGGAAGCTTATCCCTAACTACTGGTTTTAAGACGCTCTGACACTCAAACTAAATACCTAAAATATGCAGCGTCAACACACACATATATCAAGCACTGGTGTATAGTGGGTATGGAAGAAAATACAAGACAGATAGGGAGAGAAAGAGACAGGCAGAGACAGAGAGGGAAAGATGTGCAGCAGCATATTACACTAATGGATATCTACTGTGGTGTGCTGGGCTTAGGGCGGATTAGCGTTTACCACGTCACGAGGAACACACACACACACACACACACACACACACACACACAAGCAAGTTGACAGATACAGATACACACCACAGGGTAATCCGCTATACCTTGGTTACACCCATTACTCTGCCCCTGCACACGTATTTCATGTGTGTGCATATACACAGAGTTAAATAAAATGGATGAATATTTTCATCCAATGTCATCAACGTTAAGAAAAAATCTTACATGTATGATTGTTTGTGGTTTAATAAATAAAAAATGATTTCCCCCCTAAAATTGTAATGTCATGTTTTGGAATGGGATTTGTCAGTTCTTCTGCTCCTCACGTGAACTTGTTATAAAAGTTATTTGTATTGGACCAATAAATCAAAGAAACTTGCTTTGTTGCTCACTGAGGGCAAGAGTGCATTTTTAAACCAAGAGCTCCCTCTGCTGGTAATATATGCCTATCTACTGTATCTTCTGACTAGCTGGGCCAACTAAAGGGGCACTCCACCAATTTTACAGATTCAATTCAGTTTACTCGTCATTGAGAGTAAAGCTTGTGAGAAGTGTTGTGTATTGTCTTTTGTGGCTCTGGAAAAACTTTCTGAAGTTTTAGAAATTTATGTCAGTTTTAGCAGAAGACTTCAAATTTTGTAAAAGAAAGCCTGTGTCGTAAGTGTGGAGTCTAAATGATGTGGTGGTTTATCAGTCAGTAATTAAGGGTCTAATGAAAGATGCATTATGGGAAGTGTGGGGCTGAAAGTCAGGATGTTTTGGTCCCTGCTGCCTTGAATTTGACTCTTTTTTTAAGTTCAAGTGTGAATGTGAGTGTGATTAAAAAAAGAATAGAAAGAAAGAAAAAGAAAACTTTGATCTCTTTGCGACACACAAAATTATGGACGCTGCCACAACTGGAGGCCATTTAGTCTCAAAAAGGTCCAAACCAAACCCCTTTTTCCAAACACCTATCTGGCAATATAATGCTAAATCAATTACTGAGCCTTAATAAATAATTATAGATGTGTGAAATTTGTCCTGAAGAGTCCTGAAGCAATGTTTAGCAAACACTTAAAATTATCATTACAAGATTAAATGGTTTATGTATGAAAGACAGTTTGTCAAAAGGTCAAAACCAAAACAGTTTCTCACTTACAGTACATGTTCCGGAAACGGACCTATCAACAGCTTGAACGTAGAAGGATTCGGCTCCCTCCGCCAGTCACGTGACTCTTGTCTCCCTCTTCGTGTTTGTCCGTCCAGAGTCGCCCTCTTTAGCACAAGGGACGGTTAGCATCCGCTGCGGTACCATGTTCCGAGCCGTCTTCCGACTGTCTGCCACAGGGGCCCGGAGCCTGGCTCGGTCACAACCCTTCTACTCAGGTAGGACTGTCTGCTGTCCAGCTGCTGGCCGTGAAAGTAAATAATCTCTGTTATAAAAATGACCAAATTAAGCTTCCCCGGCTAGCTGCCTAGCTTAGCTACAGCTGTGTGTGGAGTAAAAGCTAACGCGGGGTGACATTGAATGATTTTTATGAGTAGCTGGCTTTGTGGGCTTGAAATGAATATTTTCTTCAACCTCCACCTTTTGTAGAGTATTTTAACAGAAGAGGCGCGAAATGAATTTTAGTTTAAAAAAAAAGTCACGACCTTGTGATGACCCTATGTAGGTAGTTCACGGGTGTCAGTGGCCGCAGTTTATGCGCAGCTGATATCAACACATTGAAACGGCTAACTCGAACCATATGAAATATTGGAATTTTAGAAGCCATATTTAAAACTTACACACAGATTTTCAGGGAGGTTTTTAATGATTTAGTATGTGAGTTATTTTGATTTTATTAGTCTCCCATACTAACTGTCCCGAACTGCTCTGGTTAGGTCATCATTGCTTAGCTTGCGCATTGGGTATGTGTGTAGTCTAGGTTACACTCGATAAGGTGCATTCCACTCTTGTTAGTGCCAAGAAACTATATGTATATTTTTCATTTTTAAAACGTGATGCGAATAAGATGAGTTGTTAGTGACAATGTGATGTGTTGAGGAAATGAGATTTTAAAAAATGAATTTGGATATTATGCACTCCACTCACTGACATATTTTGCGTTGGTTTCATTTTTCAATTTCAAGTTGTTTGAAACGGATGTGATGTGGAGGTCACATGACTAAACACTCTAAACACTCCAACCTCATGCATTGCGGCAAGTTTATAGTCCTGTATCTTCTAAATGAGATTTACAGACCCGCAACATCACTACCCTGATAATTGTAGCTATAAATGTTGTTGTGCTACCTGATATTAATTTAGTCCTTAAAGTACTAAATAATCACTACTGGGCATGTAACCACAGAGACACAATCTCTGTTCCATATTTAATATAGATGTTACCTCATGTTGCTTTGCTCACTGACTGATATGAAAGCAATGTGTACAACGTGACTCAAAAGCTTTTTGAATACATTGGATTTTCCACATGATTCACCCATTTGATGTGAGGTTATCACAGTCAATAATTACAAACACTGTAGATTCATGACTTATCACTGTCACAAGATTTGATGTTATTATCACATATTTTTTTTATCTTGATCTGTCCTTCATTCTATCTTCAAATTTTTCACAGTTCTCTTTTGGGCTTGGCATTGAACCTGGGTACCTTAAGTACCCAATCAAATGAGTCTGTAGCAGCAAGTATCAGAAACCATAACGTACCAAAAATCATTCATAATCGTATGTACTTATTTTTACACAAGATATTTACTGGTCTGTATTTTGTTTGAACAAAGTTGTTGTGCTGCCAGTTTTAGACAATTTTTCAGAAATTAAAAACTACATATTAGCAGTTGTGTTTAAAGGTTTCAAGTGATACTAAGCCTTACTTTTCTTAATGACAGTCAAACTTATTACACAATTTATACTTTGTATCCTAAGTTTTATTTTTTAATGACTTTATAATTGAATTTTGACCTTATTCATGATAATATGTATAAGAATAGTCTAGCATAATAAATATTATAAAAATAAATATTCTGTCTAATGTTTTTCAGCTCCATTGGCCTCCAGATGTTACTCTCATGCCAAAGTGGAGACAGACGAGGAGTTCGATGCCCGCTGGGTCACTTACTTTAGCAAGCCCGACATAGATGCCTGGGAACTGAGGAAAGGTGACTGACGTGTTATTTATCATTTCCTCAGTTTGGTCATTGTTTTGGTTCCAGTTTCCAATTCCGTATGTTTATTATATTACTGTTCCTGTGACGTAATGGGGCTTTATAATTTATAATTTATTATTATTATAATTGATAATTTCAACTTTAAGGCATGAACACCCTGATTGGGTATGACCTGGTACCTGAGCCCAAGATCCTGGATTCAGCACTAAGAGCTTGCCGGAGACTGAATGACCTGGCCAGCGCCATCCGCATCCTTGAGGCTGTCAAGGTGAGCAACACTCCCTTTATAGGTTTGCTTAGGGAATGCATAACCTTCTCACTGAACTCGGTGTCAGCTGCTTACCATCAAGTTTCATCAGGTACTGCCTGTGATAAAATGCTCCTCTTTTGTGGTTGAAATTTTTTTGTGTGTTGTTTCGCAGGACAAAGCAGGCCCCCGCAAAGACATCTATCCCTACGTGATCCAAGAACTCAAGCCCACCCTGGCAGAACTCGGCATCTCAACACCAGAAGAGCTGGGCATTGACAAGTTATAGACTGTCAAGGTGAGACTGCACTATACCACACTCCTACATGTTACTTGGACATGTGATTGTGGCTTTAAAAATATAATTACTTCAGCCAGAAGTACTGATGCTGTCCAGTGCTGCTCCACACGCTGCATATGTATGCTGGCTGGCTCTGTGTACAGTAGATCATGGGTTATATTGCATATTACTTGCTTAGAGCTGAAAAAAATCTTTTTTTTCCCCCTCTGTCCTCAGGTCATTTCATGTATAAAGAGATGAGCTTTCCTGATTCTCTCCTGTCAAAAATGTCTATATTGTTGATTAAATCCATGCTGTCCTGTTATGTACAAAATGGTGGACCTAATAAAGAAAACCAATAACCGAAGGATGTGTGTCAGTTTTTTTCCTTTCCTGGTAAATCATTGAATGTTTTTTAATCTGTACCTGACAGTTATTTTTACAACAGACTGAATTACTATTGACAGCTGCATTCAATGTTATACATCTTCACTGGCATGGCTTACAAAGCTCCTTAAATAGAATAAAGCCATTGTTAATGTTAGTAGGTCCACCTTTGCTTCTCTTGCTGTCAAAAATAGTGCATGTAAAGTATGAATGTGTAGGTGTGTTAAAAACTGTATAAACAAACCATGACCAGTTTACCTCAGGTTCAGTGACTAAAACAGTAGCACTGTTGTAATGGATGCTCACACAATGAAAAGTAAAATGGCAACTAGTGCTGCAGATTTTGGACAGTGGTGATGTTATCTACATTTCACAAATGCAAAATACCTTTTTTGCAAAGGAGCAAGTAGTGGTCAAGGTCAAAGAAACAAATGAGGTTGATGAATGCTGTCCATTTCTCTCTTGTGTCCCTCCTGAATTCTTCACTGTCCTTTCTGTGGGGAAATGTTTGGCTCATTTCCATGTGGGTCTCTTCACACCTGTTCTCCAACTTTGTGCTCAATGTTTGTCCTTGTCACGGTGACTCTTGAATGCATCTTGCATATAAAGTGATAATAGTTTTGTCTGTTATGGATTCTTGTTTTTTTTATGCTGTGTTGCATTTCACATGCTGATTGTTATACACAATTCCTTTTGTGCCTGTTTTTATACTTAATTGGCAGATTAACTTGAACTTGATCAACTTGATAGACTAACAGAGTGGAAGTATAGAAGGAGGATAAAAGATGAGGCTCAGACGGGACGTTGTTGCAGCTAAGCAGGGCAAATATAAGGAAAAATCTCTCACAAAGGTGTGTGACATGTCCTGCTCTGTCATGTTGCATGCATTAGTGACAGCAGGTGCAGTCAGGTGCAATGACCAGGACAGAGTTTATGACAGGATATTAGATTCAAATTTGATTTCATGTATTTCTTATATCATTCATTGCAGTATTTAAAATGCCATATATATATATATATATATATATATATATAGAGAGAGAGAGAGAGAGAGAGAGAGATCCTATATATAGAATATATAGGAAGAGTACAGCTTTCAGATGTATGGCATGATCATTCAAAGCATCTCCAGTATCAGTGATGCAGGTGGAAATGGGAGAAATGCCTTTAAGGATCAGAAGATCAAGTTACTGCTTGCAGACTGTGTTAATCTCCAGGGACAATGTGATACACAAAAGTGTTATTTAACAGACTGCTGGGAACATGAGACAAATCTCACATGTTTTGGGTGGATAGGTGATACCAATTACAGCAATGACCAATGGTTTCAATTCCTTCCATTCCTCCATGGTTATTGACCTTGCCAAAGGTTGCACTCAGCATATAGCAGGAGGAAGGACAAGTCACAGCAACTTCCAGGATGGTACATAGTCCAGAACTATTTTGATTAGTGCTTTTCAGACTCAGTGATTCTTATACTGGGTGTGCAGGTGCCACAGTTTATATCGCAGTGAGTGAGTCATGTATTAAAAAAAGCAAAACAGACCATGTGTCAGTATACCACAGAGGTATTGGCAATATTATTGGCAATGCAATAGTTAGAGGGGGAAACAGCTCATCATTGTACCTGATAGCTATTCAGTATTCACAAGCATACGATCTGGCAGATTACCGTCTAGGACAGATATTATCAATGACATTCCTTATAATGTAAAGGGTGGAAGCTAAGGGTTTATCTATACGCTTCATTTGGGTTCCTGCTCATGTTGGTGTGAAGGGAAATGAGCTGGTGGATATTCTGACAAACACTCAGAATTAAACAAGAGGACATAGTATATACTATAGTAAACGTATAAACCTACAACATGTAGGTAGGTTACACCAAATACAACTGGAAAATGCACAGTGCAGTAAACCAAAAACAGTCAAACATGTCCAGTCCACTCGGCGGCGGTAATGCACTTCTAAGCTGGTTTGCCAACCGCCAATAAACACCAACGAAGAAGAAGCAAACGAGGAGCACCCTAAAGAAGAAGAAGCAGAAGAAGAGAACCCTAAAGAAGAAGAAGAAGCCTCCCTGCTCCAGAGGAAAACAACAAAGTCCCCCGCCGGTGGGACACTTGTTATCATGGCTGTGTTGTGGTGTGAAGTGTGACAGCTAACGCCAAGATGATGAACGACATCATAGAGGAACCGGAGAAGGACACGCTGCTTGAAGCGCAGCCGGAGCCACAAGTTTTGTCGGTAATGTCAGCCGACGTTAAAGCTAGCCCGGCTAAGGCTAGCTTGTAAATAGAGACTGTGAGGCTCGCTAACTAGCCTAGCTTGTGATTTTGACAGTTCTTTAGATGAGACATGCTCTGAAAATAATTTTCGAGACGGTAAGCTATTAATTATTGCCAAGTTTGACTGCAAATAATGTTGAGGGACATGCTCAGTAAGCTTGAAAACACATATAATTGATTTTCTCTTCCTCTAAGCCGAAGGGGTTGATGGGAAATTTTGGAGGAGGTTTTGATTTTCAAAACTGTATGTGGTAGGTGGAAGTTTGGTGTTTGTCACTGGATACAGACTTAAGCTGACATAAGACTTGAAAACAGAAAGATGAAACGTCACGTTCAAAAAGACGTGCATATAACAAATATTTTTTCATGAGGATTATGATTAAAAAACATTGGAATTATTTAAAACATCCCTATAAACTGTGTCATCTTGTCATTTAGATATCGCATGATTTATTTATCATATTAATGTCTTGTTTACTTTGCAATCATACACGAATCTCAGCTACATATTTTTTTTGTCATTTCTGCAATACAAGGGGCCCAGCAGTGGCACAAGACCTAAGACTACTGATGGAGGCATCAGGCCTGTGGAGAAAAGAGGACCTTACATCATGTCCAGAGCTCCAGCCATCCACCTCAAACTACGTAAGCGTGTTCTTCATTATCATAACTGGTGATGTGAACAGGTCATTATTATGCTGGTCTGTAGGTCAGAAGTCCTTTCATAATTGTTGTTTTCTTGAGTCCAGCTGCGGTTTCTGTTAGTACAAAATAGGACAGCTAAAGAGTATTGATTATGCAGACAGCATAGTGAGTCATATGACACTCATAGGCTCAGATGCCCTCATTTTCACTCACGCTGTGTGTCACAAAAGCAATTATTGTTGTCAACTTTTCATAATGTCATTCACTGCCTACTTGTATCATATCATATTGATTTATTTGTAGTGGCCCACCACAATATCAAAATTGACCATTGCATATTTATTTTACTATTTCAAATGGCTAAAATTTTATTTCATTGTAGAGCTGTGTGCAACGCATTGATTTTCTCAGTAGAGTTGTTATGCTGGTCTAGTTGGTATGAGCTTAAACTGGTTTGATTTTATGCCAACCAGCTGAAGCAACATTTGTCATTATGATATGTTAGGGCAAATTACAAAGCAGCCTACATCAGCAATATGACGATGAGATTAAAATGATGTTTGTTCATGAATGGATTTACGGAGCCAGTTGTGTCGCTGTGTGCAATTTACTGCTAAGCCAAGGCCAGCAAAATGAAGTAGATCAAATTTCAGTATCAGCAGTTGGCAAACCGTTTTAGAGGTGCATTATTCCCACCAAGTGGACTGGAGTCACTCGCTGTCTCATTATGTTCCACTCAGGAGCATCTGCTGAGTAAAGTGGGACACCTAGTGGTAAAACTCAGTACAGTGGTCTGGTCCAGGTTGGTGTTTGGTTTAATGACAAACTGGTTTGAACATTTTTACAGCAGCCCAACCCAATCACTCAGCCCCTCCTTTCCCCACTCTCTCTCTCTCTCTTCCTCTCTTTCTCCCTCTCTCTCTTTCAGCACACACAGACACATTAACAACGGACCCATCTGTCATAGTTGGAAAGACCAAAAACAACAACGCATTTGGTCTTTCCAAAGGGAAATGATTTGTGTTTATTTATATATATAGAGTTGGTAGTCACCTGAGACACATGTTAATGCCAGGTCTGAAAGAGGCCTTTGTGATATGTGGAGCTGTCAAGATGTCTACATTACACTAGTGACTGACTAGCAACTGTGATTCCAGTATTCACATGGCATCTAAAAAACACTTTCCACACAGCGAAGAGGTGATGTTGGGTTCTGGTTCACTCTTGGTTGAATCTGTGATCCACACACATCACAACACTTGTTCCAGGCCTAATGATGCATAATTTGTTTTTATTTAGGCAGAGGAGTAATGGATGTTATCAACTTTATAGGAAAAGATAATTTTCCTAAAGATAGGAAAGTCACCCCATCCCTGGGTTTAGGAAACCCTCTGCAGCTGCTCTAACCTTTTTAAAATCGCTTGTAAATAGAAAATTACAGAACAGTTAACATGCACACTTCAGTGGATATGGAAATATACAATGTTAAAGTCTTTAAAATGCCAACAAGCCTCTTGAAAGGTATTGATTGGATTAAAACTTTCAACTAATTTTGTCTGAGATTGAATCACTCATTCATCTTTGAAATGTGTGATATCCACTTAGTAACTGCCAAGAGAAACCACAAAACATCATAAATTTAGTTTAGCATCACAACATGATGAGATGTCAAACCTTTACAAAGGAGAACTTGTTCTTCTTGTTGAGGATGTTTATAAGAAGTGTCATAAATCTCAAGTCATACACTGCGCTGAGAGTAATTTTTCATTCCTAGATCACCTTTCAGTGAGATTATTTGAGGCTTTATCAGTAAAGGCCCTAGGTAAGGTTTCACTTAAATACTGATTATATAGTATGACTGGGTCCCGTGAATTTTGGGAGTCTTTTTTTATGGTTATGTATGATTCTGTAAACAGTTCATTGTAACAGATAATTGAGTGGAGTGATTGTCCCAGCCAGTTCTCAAATTAAAGTCCTCAATAAACTTCTTATGTCACCTATCCTTGATCATTGTACAGTCAGTCCTTGTCAGCACAAAAACTGTCTCTTATTCTGGTTATTCACAGAGAAACACAGGGAGATGGCGAGAAAAGCACTGAAGAAGAAAGCCCTCTCACCAGGACCTCCAGTGATGCATCAGCCCAGACAAGGAGCCAAGAGGTGAGGAGAGGAGGAGGAGGATGATGATGATGAGGAAAGAGGAAGCCGATTTTTGTGATGTCAGCACAATGCAGGAGAAGAGGTGTTTGTTTTGAACATTTTTTTTTTTTTTTTAACATTTAATGCTTCTTCTTGTAGGACAGTGAAGTACAACAAGGGCTACGCTGCTTTGAGTCAGCATGCTGAGGACACTTTGGTTGCACTGGACTCAGACAGGTAAGGTTACGCCAAGTACACAGGGGATAGGGGTTGTTGAATTCCTACTATATGCAGTAAACTGAGCACTGAAACACTTACTGACAGTCGTTTTGTTATTAGAAACAGTACTCTCTCCTTATTGGTCTCCCTTTATGTTATTCTCATAAGCATACACATCTAAAAGATATGTCCTGAACGCGCTCAAACGTTGTAGTGCACAAGCAACATATTTGCTTACATAACAGAAAAAAATCTCTTCTTTTCAGTTGTCCATCTAAATAATGTCATGAGAAGCAAAGTATATGACTAGTTTTAAATGTGATTACAGATTAAAGACTCACATTTAATGTTTAAGTTTAACTCATCATTTTATATTGTACCTTTTAACATCATGTCATCTTGGCTTTTGTTATGTCCAGTTGGAGTTTTGACATTTTCCCCGCTCTGTTGTCCCTAAACACGTTTTCCTGTTGACACATTTAAATTGTTGACATCAGAATGACAGAACCTGTCCTACTTGTCTTAACAGTGATGAAGAGATTGATTTTGAGCAGTACTCCTCAGGATACTCTTCAGCTGAGGTGAGTTAGACATTCTTCAGATTATCACACAATGAAACTGGCTGTACGACTATGGCTGTGTAGGTGTGAAAACACTTTGTTTTTTTTGGCCATTCATACATGTTCAAAGAGAAGTGTTATTATCAGCCTGGGCTTTGTTTTTCCATTTTGTCCTTTTATTTTATGACCTCTGTGCGATCTTTCGCTAACACTTTGGTTTGAATTGTCAGGCCAGCACACACAGTTGGAATTGTAAACTCTTGCCCTTCGTCTCGCAAAACCTTCACAATGTAAACATTTAGTACCCATGGAGAAAATAAAAACTGTGTACACGAAGAAGAAACTGGCAAAGTGTTTGAGAGGTTTTTGGAGGTCGTAGTGCCACCAAATCATGCATGTTTGCTGAACAGTAAATAGGTAAGGGGTTAAGAGGAACCAGTTTGTCTCAAAGAACATAATCGAAAACAACTCGGGTGAAAGAAGTTATCATTGGTACAGTTGCACATCAAACAGTTAGAACTGGGGCCAGATCTTGTGTGTGCTTTCATTCATTCATGCGTTTGTAGTAGTAGTAGTATTTACTGAGTGCCTGTCCATGGATAAATGTGAGAGCAAAGGATGTGTTTTATTTTTCTACCTTACCATTGTTGATTTTTAGTCACAAGCCTCTGGCTGTGTCCTGACCTCAGATATGTAGCCAGAGGTGTTTGCACCGCCAGAGCTTAAATTCAGTATTACCTGTTTTCTCACATTGCTATTAAGTAGCTGTAGAATTTTCATATTACCTAAGAGACATTTGTACCTGCGGGTACAAATAAAGTACCCTAACGTAATATATTTTAATAGTTCATGGAGAGGCACAGAGTCGTAAATGATGGAAATGGGGTTTTGGATTTGAAAAAGTAAATTAAAATTATATAATACACCTTTGAACATGATTTTTAATCTCTAACACTAACTGGTGGTACTGGTGACCTAACTTGATCCCAAAAGCCAGTTAATTCATGTCCATTGACTTACAATGACTACTTAAGCCACTTTGTAACTAAGTTTGGTTCATAACAACAGAGATACTTAATCATCAGTATGAAAAGATCATTATAAACAGATGAACCTTAGTGAGATGTCCATAAGGTTAAGCCACATTACTCGTCCATGAGTGTGTGTTACTGAGGTTCTTATTGCTCTTCAGGTCCATCCCGATTTAAGCAGGCAGCTGCTTCAGGACGGCTACCGTCTGGATGAGATCCCTGATGACGAGGACCTGGACCTGATTCCGCCCAAAGCCATGGGCTCCTCTGTGTGCTGCTGCTCTGAGGGCCCGTCTTGCTCCATGCAGTGATGCTGGTGCCGTGACTCAAACCTTACAAAGGCTTGGCTCCAGTTTTAGTCGCTGACTTTTGTCACTGGTGCCTGAGGCCGTCTTTTTAACCCAGCTCCACCGCTGCGCTGCCTGAAGACTTCCAACCCCGAAGCCAAACTCCTGTTCATGCAGGACTGCATGCACCGACATCGCTCACCCCACAAGACAACGCGGATGGACGTAAGAACAAGCCTTATCCACTGTGACCCCAAAGCTTGACTATTTTTTTATTTTTCTTTTTATAGAACTACAGGAAGTACTAACTATGCCACTGCTTCAAATTGAGTGGGAAAGTAATTCATCATTTGGGATATGTCCATGTTGACCCAGTGGAGAGCTGGTTACTGTCTGGTGAACAGGTCTGCAGGCCTCTAAGCACGACATGCATACAAGTATGGTGTATTGTGTTTGATGTTCCAGTTGAATTTTTTTTAACTTATTAATCAACTGTTATATGAAGGCACCTCACTTGACCATTTACATTCCTTGACTACTGTTCCATTAACTGGCTTTGTTTTTTCTTTACTGTATCTGTCCTCAGAAATTACATTTGAGTTTTATTCCAAAATGAGAGGGGCACCACTTGGGGAAAATATGACATTATTATTAATATTATTTGAACAAAAATAACGACCTAAAGTTATGTTTTAAGTAGAAGAATGACTTAAATAGGATGTGCAGTGTTGCCACTTCAGTTCTTTGTGGCTCGTGTGTGATGATAATTATTTTTTCTGCCTCTGCTGCAAACTCAAAAACCTTAATACAAGTATAGAAGATAATCCAAGGCTAGGATTATTTTCCACTGGTTCCATATGTTCTTCTTTGTGTCTGAGAATACAAAGAACTCATTACGTCTTAGAAGTCGCCATTGAGAAAACTGCTACATACAAAGAGGGACTCACTCATACAAAGAATCATCTTATCACTGTTAATAAGAGTAACATGTACTCTTACCAAATGTTACACAACTATACACGGAACAAGCTGTCCACAGATGAGTTACTGAAGTACTTTGATGGAACCACTGATATTTGTTTAGATTGGACTTCACAGTCTCTGTGTTGTATAAATAAGTTTCCAGAAACCAATGTCACCTTTTTAACACGCTGCTACAAAAAGATTGTAGGCATAAAAACGAAATATATTACAGATTCCTGTATAATTCATCCTGTCATCTTAAAATGTTTGGTTATGTGGTTAGATATGTGTATGTTTAAATTCTCTCTTTTTAAAAAAAATATGTATATGCTTTAGAAAACAATTTGACACAGATGGGGAGAATTTAAAAATAGGTTACTTTATTATTATTGTCTTTTTTTTTTTTTTTTTTTTTTTTTTTTTTTTTTTTTTGCCAAAATTAATATGTAGCCTTTTAGATTAAAACTTTATCCAGGATCTGATGTAACTCTTAAAAAGGTTGTGTCATCTTTAACACATCAGAGTGTGTGTGTACAGCAGATCAGAGTTACATTATTTTATTTATTTATTTTTTATACATGTTGGGGACACTAAAAATAGTTGTTACAGGTTAAAAACAGTAAACCAGATTTGCATTAGAATTGAGGTAGTCAGCTACCCATGTTAGCTGTTAGGCTTTTGAGATGTCACACTATATTTACACATCAGTTCATACTCTTTTCTATTTGTGTTACTGTGTGTCTGTTTCTTACACAATAGACACAGGGATGTGCCGAAAATGGCAATTGTTAATATATGAAAAAACAAATATATTTTTTTTCACTTAAAAAAAAAAAAAAAAAAGCATCTGTTCACTCATGTTACAAGCCCGGGTCATATTTTACTATTAATGATTGGTGTTTATTTTGAAACGTGCATTAACAAAAAATGTTTAATATCAGAGCAAGTGACAGCAATCACTTTCTCAGGAGATTTTTCTGTGTATGTGTGGGTGTGCAACTACAAAGTAATTTGCCTTTCTTTCACATACATTTGTCAAATGAAAAAAGTTAAGTGCATAGAGGTTTTACGTCAGGATATATGTGTGGCCACTGTTGTACCTAACCTGTAGGCCACACTGTTATTTCTCATGCTGTGATGTTGGTTGTTACAAGGTGTAACTCTCAGTCATATAAATAAACGGTGTAGCAGACCACTTGACCACCATAAAGAGGTTCAGGATTGGCGAGAGTATGACATTTTGTTCTAGAAAAAGTAGACACCTTGATTTGTCCTCTACAGAGTTGGGATAAATTCACAAATTCAAAAGTGGATTTTGTTAAAACCCTTGCAATGAAAATGCTTGTTGCTGAAAATGTTACATTATTAACATAAGCAATGGGCACTATCTGGATGATGTTGGAATAAAAGCTGATTCTACTATTATACTAAGTGGGAGTCACTTGATACAAGTGTGAGCTAAATGCTCTAAGGGTAACAGCTGAATTTAAAGTGTATCAACCCCGGCCCTGGATCTGCACGATGTTTTTATGTACAGAAATATTGCACTTAACACCAGTGGTCAGTAGCAAGTACACTTGACCCACCTGTACTATGCAACAATTGGGACAATCTGCTTGTTATAACATTGTGACAATATAGAGTTACTGAGTGCTAAATGCAATAACTGAAATTGTTATTTTATGATGGCAAACACTAATGTTTTTTATTTGATTGTACTGTGTATTGGTTTACATTACTAAATAAAACTCAGTTATCTATACTTTTAGTGTTTGATTGTTTTGATAGTTCTTAAGAATCATTTTCTGTGATGCCTGTCTTGTGTGAAGGAAGCTTTTCCATCAGTGAAAATGAGTTGTATATACAAGGTTGATAAGAAGCCGGTCATGAAGTTGAACATGGTAGTTGTTGATACCTCAAGGGGGCAGCACGAAGCCATGATGCATTCCCAATGCAATACCTATAGCAGCTTCACTGCTGGGCACCTTCCCTGAGGGTTTTGTAGTATTTAATGTAAACATTGCATCATTATCATTTTCATGTCATGCAGCATTCAGAGAAAGATTTTTAAGTGTTAAGAATACTTAGTGAGAGCCCAGTATCTATTGTTAAAAGATACATTTTCAACCATGTAATTTGGCTTTGAAAATATATACATTTTCCCTGATAGCACCCATATAAATGTACAGGCTAATATAGGTTAATAGAAAGCACGGATAAATTTATTTGGTGCTATGTAACTAGTTTGCAATTAAAGTTATACACAGACTTATGTTTTAAGCTTTTTATTGAGATTATGTGGCGAGGAAGGCTCCTCATAGTTACACTTACTAAATATTATAGTACATATACAAATGAAGGAATGTGTATGAATAAAGAAATTAATAAATTACAGGCAAACCAACTTAATAAAAATGTCATGAAACTGAAAAGGCTGTGAGACTTGTTGCTGTAGCTGGGCGGGCCTAAGGCTGTTGTGCGCCATGCAGGGGGTGTCAATTGAAGGGGAGGAAAAAAACGACTGAAGGGAGTTACCTCAGCGCTTTCCGAGATATGAGATCGGGCCATTTTCCTGTCGGTCCCTTTTTCTATTAAAGAAGAAAATCACGAAAATCAGTGGGGAAAGACAGAGAGAAACACAGCCACATTTCGGAGGGTCGTCCAGAAGACTGCAAACAGCGCCTTTCTGCTCGCGGATCAGTCGCAAAAATCTGCGGTGCATGCACAGTATTTCTCCCCCCGTGCGCGCGCGCGTGTGTGTGTTTACAAGTGTTTGAACGAGTGCCAGAAAAGAGGGAAGAAGGAGGATAAAGCCAAGGAAGGAGGGATGGTGGACAATTCAAGCAGTAGTAAGGCACAAATGGTGAGTTGCGGTCCTGCTTAGCGTCCCTATACATTTCTCTGACCTGCAACGAGCTAGAAAACCCTCCGAAAGAGGCGGTTTGATCGCCTTTTATTTACGGAAAGAGAGTTAGCCAGCTTAACGTTACATTTTTCTAAAGAAGAAAGAAGGCAAAGCTTTCAGAACTAATTTGACCTTATGGTAGGTTACTTTTTAAACATATTTTACAATTTTACAACAACATTGTAACACAAATTCACAAAGTGCTTTACAGTAATAAGACTAGTCTTGTTTGTTTCTACGGCACCTTGTCCCAAAACCTATTAGGCTACGCATACGTTATCCACGTATTTTGAGGATGTGGCAGCTAGCCAAATGCGGAAAAGGTGTATATTTTTGTGCAGTTTTAGCTGAGTTGTTGTTTCTTCTTTTCTTTTTTTTACTTGAGTGGTTGTTTGCCTCATTAAGTTGTCTGGAGGTCAGTCTTTTCATTTTTGCTAACACTAAAGTTTATGCTGGAGGCTATTTAGAAGCAGTTCATCTCCCTGTCCGGTTTCAACACTGGCAATATGGATGGCCATTTTACAACTTACAGTAGTTGAGGCCAGTTATTCACCCCGTGCTTTGGTAAAGGCGTTTTAACGTGTAACAGGATTTCGTTTTATTAGTCAATGTACTCCTGTTACAATAACTTAGAATAATACTAAGTGCGAAGTACCAACAGTTTTCCTCTCTTTTAGTATCATGATGCAATTTTTTGTGATTGGCTCTTATAACTTAAGTTAGTGTCTGTTTTAACGTCTAGCTCTAAATCTGTGTGGACTCATTAAAACCGTTAACGTGTTCTTTAGGATTATGTAAGTCCTTTTTGCATAGCTTTGGTATGTCTACCTTGTAATGAGCATGTTAACATTAGTTACAAACAGTGTCAATGAATTTTCCTGCTTCATTGTTTATGCTTTTAGGTCATTGAGTTTTGATGTAAACTTCCTACCAGGCAGTATGCACATTTTGTCTGTTTATATTAGCAAATATTGTTAAGATTTAAAGATGTGGTGCTGCAGATTTTCCAGTTTCAGTCAGTGACAGGTTCAAACGAGGACCTTAGTGAAAGGAGTTACAACTTTAAAAGTTTTTTTTATTACTTGGACTTTAATTATCTAATTTCTGTGTGTGAGTTTATGTTTAAATCAGGCTTTTTTTGTCTCCATAGTAGCTTTTTTTTATGCATGTGCCTTACACGTGTCTCATTTCATCCTGTATATTGAGATAAAAGGATAATTAGATTTCAGTTTATGGTTGGTCATCCATGACTCCTTCTCTACCTCCCACAGCCCAGCATGTCTCAAGAGCCTGGTGTGGCCTTTTCTCAGAACACCTCTACAGGGGGGATGAAGCTGGAGGCAGTGATGGAGCAGCTCCAGCGCCAACAGCAGGCCCGATTGGAAATGGAGCGCAAGGAGAGGAAGCTACGAGAGGCCCACATCATGTATGCTCAGCAGGTTGCTGCCCAGCAGGCCATCTTGGCAGCTGCCCGGGCCTCTGGGGCCAGCTTCATGAGCAAAAGCCTGGCTGGAGGTGTCCCTGGTGGTGGGTTGCCTCCCCGGGTTTCCAATCAGAGCAGTGTGGACTCGGAAAGAGAGGATGACGAGGACAGAGGCCGGGATTCCGGGGATGAGGATGACGACAATGAGATGATGGAGGGAGATGAGGGCAGTGATGAGGATGAGGGAAGTGCCAGTGGTCTGGAGTTCCTCCGCAAGCAGACCCTTGCTTTGCAGCAGAGCGCCTCCCGCATCCCGGCCCGTCCATTTGGCAGTTACTCAGCTTCGGCCCCCCAGAGGGCTGCATCGCCACCTATCAGAGTGAAGCAGGAACCTGACGAGGGCCTGTCTCCTGCGGGGCCTCACTCTGCCACCTCTCCTAATGGACAGGCGGACTGGGGCTTTGAAGATCACTTCAGACAGGTTAGTACCCTGCCTTGGCTCCTTGCCACACCGTTTTTTCCGTTTCTGTTTTGGTCCCAGTTATGTCTTCAAAACACCACCCATCAATCCAAAGCTGGCTTCTTTTCATGCATCTCAAAACAGGATCACTCCATCTAGAATGGTTTGTGGACATTATTGTAATTGACCTTCTCAGGAAGTTGAGCTGTGCAACCACTGGAAACTACTGTATTTAGAGCGGCAAAGGAGAATTGATTTCATGTAAATAGTATGACAGTAGCTGTTAGCAAAATGTCAACAGTATTTTCCACTGGAAAGTCCCACCAGTAACACATACAGTATACAAGGCTTTAATTTGAGATTCTATGGCATTCATGTATTTGTTCATGCTCTACAAAGGGTTTAACCTTAAATCATATCATATCCACACAGGGTTAGTGGTATACAGCTGTTAATTTTTTTTTTTTCAACGATATCGGATTGGTTCTTGGTATTGGCCGATACTCAAGTTCAGGTATCAGAAGGTCTCGGGAAGGAAAAATGCTATTAGAACATCTCTATTCCCAATCTCACCTGAAAAAATGTCCTATCTTTCTTTAAATTTAGTGAATTTATACAGGGCCACATCAAAACACTATTGTTTATTGTGACCCAAAAGAGTAATACTTTCACTGTTCACCACTCTCCCTTTGAGTGTTTTGTTTGATTTCTCAGGCCATTCTCCTGCTGTGAGTGACTACTTAATCTTGACTCTGGGACAAATCTCTCCGGCAGTATCTTTGTGAGACACTTCAAATCTCTGTGGAGGGTTGACCGCTGATTGGCTTTTGTGGCTAAAAATCCTCCTAAGTGAGTCCTGGCAGAGGGCCAGGTTGAGGCGCAATGTGTTCACGCTCACTAGCTCTCCCCCTCTGCACTCACATTCTGTGTGTGTGTCTCTCTCTCATTCTCTGTCCCTCTTGGCACTTTGCTCAGGCTCTGGTTTGGCTCTGATCCAGGTAGTGGAGTCAGGCAGTGTAGGGCTGCTGCTGTGTAGCTGTGGGTGGTTGGCCGGGTCAGCACGAGCATTTTGGGTGGGTGGGAAGGTTGGATGTAGTACACAGTAGCAACCCGCCACACCCCCAGCCCCCCACCCCGAGACTTTCGGCTGTGTGCCAAGTGCACTTTCTCTTGAAGGTAAACATTGCCTCAGCACAGTGTTACAGAGCACTGGAATGCCAACTGGGGATCAAGCCGAGCTACATGTGGTTTAGCATCATAGCTTGGGACATAGCAAGTTAAAGAGAGCTCTACAGCCTTTGGATGATATAAAAAGCCTTGGTTGCACAAGAGTGGGCAGTGTCAGAGGACATATCTGCGCTTAATCACTAAGGGTGCAGAACTATCATGTGTCTGCATTTTATTACTGTCTATTTAAAGGCAGATGTCTTTGAATGGTGCTTCTCTAGACCACATTTCCAAATTTAGCTTGGCACATGGACATTTGGTAGTGACACGCAGGACTGAGATGTTGAGGGAAAGCAGCAGTATTATAAAGGTGGTGGGAGAGGGAGCAGTAGTAGTTGTGTTTTTATTATTATTGTATAGCAACTAGAGCCACTGCCCTCACACGGGCCTGCTGGGGATGATTAAAAACATTACTCTACAAGGTATGAACGTTGTATGAAATTGAGTCTCACTGCATTGTTTAGGCTGCTTATTGTTTCCAGAGGTGTCAGAAAGAGTGGAGTGGTATTATTCTGCGAGGTGGCTGGGCTTTGTGTGAATGTTGTCAGAACAGAAGATCACAGCAGCAAAGTTGTAGCTGACCAGTGCCCTATCTGTGGCCTGGCGTCTTTTATCAGGAGAGGCGGGCTGAGCCTGGGGGTTGGGGGAGGCATTGTGGGATGAGAATTGGTCTGGCCTTTTTTTGTTTCCTCTCTTTTATCTTTCCTGTCATTATGTCAGCTCTGCAGTATTTAATGACTGCTCATCTCTTCAGGCAGTTTCAGGTTGCACTGCTGTAGGGGGAGGGGGACAGTTGGATTTTTGATGTCATTGTCTTCGAGAGGCCAGAGACAAGCCTGGCAGATGCCACAAATACCGAACCTCTATAATAATGGGGGAAGCACATTTATTACGTTCTAAAAGCAGTGAGAGAGGGGAGATGACTAGCTAAGGAGACAAATGTACGGAAGTCCATTTACATTAACATTTACATTTCATCTAGCCAGTCACATTGAGTGTATCCAAAGCACCCTGACCGAGATACTGCTGTGTGGTTGTGCCATAGCAGACAATATTTAAAGAGTTTGGGTCATGATTTTATCCAGAGCCACTTACGGACACATAGACATGGTAATAATGTCAATTTGCTAGTTCACCAATATTTCAAACAAATGAAAGTGATAACTGTGATGATTCATAATTCATATAACAGTGAAAAGTCAGTGTATGCATCTGTAGTATTGGTATAACACCCAGTTTGTATGTAATTTACCTCATCCAGAAGCACCAGCACTTGACTGACAACCATTTGATTAGTCCATCTTGTCGTCCTATACCCATGAGTGTTTTGAGTGTATGAGTGGTGAGAGCCTGTACAGGTCAGATGGGGGTGGGTTGACAGACACGGGTAGCCAGTGTTTTCGTGTCAGTGATGTATGTGTGGTGACCTCAGCCCCGTCCTAAACAGCAGAGTAAATAATTGTCAAACAAGGGGATGGACAAAGCTGTCGCGTGGAGAGAGGGCTGAGGCGGGCAACTGGCTGGCCTCAGCCCTCTGGCCTCCACCGCAGTGGGACAGAGGCTGCATGACCCCTGTAATCCACCCACCACCCCTCCTGCTCACATAGACACATGCCCATAGACCACTACCTCCTTGTGATAATCCCTCTGTGATTAATAGACTTTTAATCACGCCTCCAGAACACAGATTGTGTCTTATGGTCTAATATACTGGTGGTGATCGCCTCATTTGGATTGGCTGTAACTGAGGGACATTCTGTTGTGTGCTACAGGTGGTGTGTGAGCACAGTGGCTCTTAGTTATGTTCACAAGCTTTTTGTTGCTGTGCAACTTTGCAATTTGACAAATGAGACAAAATGGAGGCAGTGAGCAGAGCATGTCTACATTTGCATTGCTATGATCACAAAGGGATAGTGATAGCAAAGCTTCAAGACAGAGTAAGTGATGAGTACCTCTCTCATCACATCACAAGGCTGAAGAGTAAGTTTTAGGCGTGCAACCAGGCATTGAGTTGATTGGCGGCCACATTTTAATTGTTTCTAATTGCTCTTGTGTGATGATGTCCCATGATTCAAGGAAGAAAACTGTGTTAAGAATATGTAACGTTACACAAAATCCTCTCTTTCATTGTGTCTCATAGTGTAATAGACAAGAACATTAGCTAAATAAATGTAGATGTACAATTGCAAGGTAATGTATTTAGCAGGCTCAATTACAAGAGGCTGAATAATTACCGTCGCAGCCTTATTAGATTTATAGTTTGTCATTTGTGTCAGATCAGAGATGCTCTTGATCTGGAGATTCAGCAAACCAGGAAAAGCTGGAAACTGGAAAAGTAAATCAGTGCAACACCAGAGCTCACTTGACGAGGCAGGGCACAAGAAGGCAGAATTGGTCTTGGGTGAGGGAAACATTTAACACAGGAAAAGAGGTCTGTTACTATTGAGCCCTGCCATCACTAGCCACCCTTGAGCCCGATTCTGCTGCTTAGGGACTGAAGCCTGTCTGTTGAGCCAGCGCTGTTGCATAATTTAGCTGTCGCCCCAGCAACACACCAGCCAGGAAGTGGGGAGCTGCACGGCTGCAACACAGAGATCGATAAGGATTGTGTGTGAGCTTTTAGAGGCAGGAATGTTTGGCCTTGTTTATGGTTCATTTATGATAAATGAGAAAGACATTGTATTTAGCAGATGGACTCAAGTTTTCATTTTGATAGTGGAGTGTGGAACACATATGACTTGATGCATCAGCCCACCGCTGCAGTGTTGTTGGGAAAACTGCAGGTGTGAGAAATGTACAACAGTGTCACCATCTCTTACTAGTGTCATAGTGGGAGCTTGGAGGCTTCTCTGCCTGGCGTGCATCCTGTATACGCCAACCTGACCTGGTTTCTGCTTTCTGAGTGTTATGTTGGTGTCTCACATGCCATAACTGTCAGTGGGTCTTAAATGGTGTACTTAGTCTTATTCTGTTTACTGGACTTCCTGTTATGCTGATGTTATAAGGCTGGAATTACCATCTGACCCCTATTTGTACTACCTGCCAACAAATGGAGGTCATTCAGATGAGAAGTAATTACAAAGCCTGAGGTGCATTAAAATATCCTGCAATGCTTGTTCAGAACAAGATGTGTGACTGTATTGCGTTAGACTTGTATTGTCTCTGCCATGCTCAAACTGTTGAGTTACACAGGGAAAACCTCAACTCTGACTGTAAACTTCAGCTGTTAACACTTACAACAATGCATTCATATAACAATGAATACTTGTTTCACCTGTTTTAACTGTCCAAGAGTTGAACAGCGTTACAAATGGTTACATGTGCAATAAGTCATTTATTTTTTAGCATACAATAAGTGCTGATGAGTTCTTTAATTTTCTTTTTCAAGCTACTTTTGTGTAGCAGTTCAGTTTGAAGATCTTTGAGCACCATGAGTAAAAGAACAATTTAACAAATGAATCCACTATAATAAAAGAAAACAAGACTTGTAAATCATTTACCTTATGTGTCAAGGAATATACAATTTTAATCTCAATTAAACACTAATACATTCTTTGGTTTTCTCATTACATGTATGTATGTATGTATTTCCTGATGGACACTTGCTTACATATATTAAAGCTCTTTTCAGTTTTTCTGCTTGATCTCTTTAAGTCCTCATCAGGTTCTTTGTCATCTGTGTGACTGCAAAATTATGTTACTAATGGCATTTGTGATGAACGGCCTGGACACAAAATGGTTAACCTCATTTCTAAATTTGCCCCCTTAGCTATAACACTGATCTCCATTCAGAT